CACCATCGCCGCCGCCGCCGCGTACATTACTAAGAGATGTAGAGATACCGACATAGCCGGCTCAGGGCATTAGTTGATGTCACTGCAGAATGTCTGACCGGGAGGTCCTAGTGTTTGTGACCCAACAATGGCAGGATTTTCAACACAAGCTACATAGCTACGTCGACTTCAGCTGCCGACTGGAGAATTCGAGCAGCCAACTGCTCTCATTGGAAGTTTCCTAGCATTTTCTGAACAACACCAGACAAGTGCTGGAGCCCTGCAGGTGCAGTACCCTTATAAACAGGCCACTGACCATCTTTCTTTTCTCACCCCTTACTTGCACACACTTACAATTACATGCACTACACTACCACATATGCTAGGAGACCAGTCAAGAGCTTAGAGCTTGTCCCAGCTGAGTCATTGCCTCGCTGGAGGAAGGTACTTAGTGGTGCATTGTCCAAGTCGAGACAAGTTCTTCAGAGGTTAGTTCCCAATTGGTTTCACATCATGTGCCGTTCTGTGGTGAGTGTAAGTGTAAGTAAGCAGGGAGGATAGTACAAGGAAAAAGGAAAGATTGCGTGTGGTTCATGGCCCATTTTTTAGGGTACTGCACTGGCATTAGGCTGGCGTTCTTAGGAGAAAGCACAGAAAACTACCTATCAAAGTAGACAGCCGGTAGAATTCTCCTCCAGAAAGTGGGTGAATTCGACCTAGCTATCTAGCTAGTGCCAAAAATCCTGCCACTGTCAAGACTCAAACCCTAGAACCTCCCATTCAGAGGCACTGCAGTAACATCAATTGAAGCCCTAAGCCACCTCAGCTGGCCATCCCTTCATATCGTCACACCCACCCCATGATATTCCACTTCACTCGTTAACACTCCACCCCATTGACTCTCATTCACTTCTGACAAGTCTTACCCTGGTTCCCCAGTGAGTGTGTCATGACGTCTTGTAAATCCTGCCACCATCAAGACTCGAACTCAAAGTTTTGCATCATCATAAACGTTTGTAAAACAAATGTTAATTTTTAGAGTAGCAGATAAGTTCAATGTTCTCAAATAATAAGTTGAATTACAGGAATTAAGCATAAGCATTATCACAGACCGCTGATACCAATTAAAGGTGTAGAAAAGCAATTAAAAGTTTTAAAAAATACTAATGAGTTTTTAGTCCTTTCTAGTGTAATATTTGAATAAATACATAATATTGCCAAGCAATTCAATTGGGTTAAAGTTTATTCTAAGGAATACCATGCAATTTCATTAATTGAATTGAACTGTAGTGATCATCATTAGCCGTGTGAGAGGTGGGTACCAGATTAGTACGTCTGCGCAAGCTCACATGGCACGGACGTGCAGTGTGCATACAGTATATTTTCTTTAACATTTTCAGTTATCTTAATTTACAAAATACAATTTAAACAACAAATTTACTATCACTATGCAGCAATCAATATAAGTATCCAAATACACTCTCCATTCTCTTAACCAAGAAACTCGCTCTCCAATCTCACGAAATTAAACAAGCAAACTATAGAAAACAAATATTATAAATAAGACTTCAAGATGCAATTTACATTTTGTAGAAACAGCTGATGAAGTAGTTAGCGAGTGAACTTCAGATTGGATTCATGAATGCTGGGACTTCCCCAAAAACTATGTTGTGGTTGCTTTTTAACGCTATGATATTTTTTTTAACATTAAAAAATAAGTTAAAATCAAAGTAGATTTCCAGAGGTAAACAGCTTAAGTCTAGGGACCCAGCAGAACATCAACATTCAATGTAAAGAAGGGAAAGTGAAATGACTCCATCTAATGCAGAAAAATAATAGATTTAATTTCTGAATATTGGGGTTTTTATATAGAAGCGAAAAGTGGTACACAAAATAAAATTAAATAACCTGGCTTTTACCTGGCTACGAAGAGGATGTGATCTGTAGTGTGTTATAAGGCTGTATAAACTGTCAAATAAGTTTGTTTCGATAAGAAAATATTTAGTTTGTCCATTCTCTTGTTTGGACCGAATGCGACAGTGATTAACTTTGCCTTGCCTCCTGTAACAAGCATAAGACAAATGCTGTTAGGTTGCCAGTTTTATAAAATGAGAAATAATAATCACACAATAATATAAAACAATGTTTCCTAAACTTTTCTGAACAATTAGTCACTCAAACTTGAACAGTAATATAATACAGTACTTTTTCAATACTTACAAAATGTATGAATATGTAATGTATGTATATTACAATGTATATATTCACATTGTATGTATATTACATATACACACACATCATTATTTATCAGAACATTTTTGATAAATGGACAAATAAAACATAAATGGAGAAACAAGGAAAGAATGACATGGAAAAAAGTAAAACTCAATAAAGAGATTAACAAGAAGGGAAAGAATTGTGATACCATATTATGCAGATAAAACCACATTTGTTGGTGTGAAGAAGAAAGTGGCTGCAAGAATGACAAAAGCACAAAAGGAGAACACAGATATTTGAACAAATGATGCTACTAATGATGCACACACTCTCTCATAATTTCTAAAGTCGCTAAATAGCTGCTTTTGCAAAATTTGCAGTTCAGCAAAAAAGAGTCCTGTGCCATTTTCTAGCCATCCTTTGCTCTACCCCAAGTAAAAAATCAAAGAAAAATTTGGATGAATTTTTTCAGAAAAGAAGCTATAAATTGCCTTTAGTTCAACCGGAAATTACACAAAAACTTTTCGCCATTTCAAATTAATGCCCATGACCTTTTTAAAAATATATTTTTACAGAACAGATTTTATTTATGAAAAAATCTCAGTTATCAATATTGTACTTCCACAATGTTAATTTTTTGCAATTTTCAAAAATACAGTGTTTGGCAAAAAATGGTACCAGCACTACTGTCTACTGACCTTTGATATATTAATTTAAAGAAAAAAATTTAAAGAAAAAATATGGAGAAACTTTTGATGAATATAATTCTTTAAAAGTTTCCAACTTTTCATCCATATTTTTGAAAAACTATTTATGAATTAATTTAAAGATCTGTCCTTGAAGAACTTAGAGGGATAAAATCTGTATCTTTAACAATGTAGGTACAGGAAGATGTCAGAAAAAGATTTTTAACTTTTGCAGTTTTAGTAAATATAGAAATTTCATCAAAATTTAACCAGTTTTTTAGTTGTACACTGAGGAAAAAGTTTATTCAAAGTATTTGGAGTAATTTTTGACACTAGCTTGATAGCTTGGTCAAATTCATGGTGCTAACATACCATGATCATAGACTGACAGACCAAAGAGAAAATGTTTTTGGTGACAATCCCTTTTTCAGTATCGAAGACTCTCAAAATGAGGATTTTGGCTATGCAACTTGATATTAATTATTATTTCTAAAACCTATGAAGCCTTTTCATAAAACTTCCTTGATAATTCATCAATTACATGTGTTACCTACATTTCAAATTCTAACAAAAACTTTAAACACATCTTAAAACTTTATTATTTGCATCAGTATTGTAGTCCATTAACAATATTATACACAAAGATAAAAAGATTTAGAGATATGTACAATCTATAAGTACCTTCAGAGTTTAGTCAAGAAAAGGATCCATTTAGCAATTTGCTACCAACCAAAAGAACAAGATGTTTGGAAGATCCAGAAAAAAGGCAGTAGTAAAGAAATACGTGAAAATGAAACAGGAATTTATCCATGTCCCAATGTGAATAATAGAACAAAAAAGAGCCACACAAAAAAAATTATCGAATATAAAAGCTTGCACATGGCAATAATAATTAATTTAACTAACCCGGTAACCAGTAGGTATAATGTGAAAGGTAATGTATGACATATTTTATTTCCTTACAATAGAAATGAATACATCCTTACCAGAACGACAGGGAATAGTCACCCACAAATGTTTCACTCTCACGCACAAGGAAAGTTCCATCTCCCAGGGAGGAGTATTTGCGTAGCAATTCTTCTGCTTCTGCTCGGCCACCAACCAATTTTCCATGAAACCACCTTTCACTGAAGTGCAATTCATCATTGGGTACTCCCTAGAGGGGAAGAAAACTATTCAGCATCCAAAAAAAGAAACAAATGATTGGAATAAACTTAACTCACATGGCTAAACAAAGACAGCTATTTCTACCTGAAAAGTGGTATGTATGAGCACAATGGGTGTAATGGGCTGTGTGCCAGGGGAGTAAGCTCTGAAAGGGATCAATAGAGTGCCACTTAAGGGGCCATCAAACCTCCCTACTTGTCTCTAGGATCAAGCAGCGTCCCAGGTTTACAGGCCAATAGCAGCAGGAGACCGTTCTTGGCCGCAATGGAGACTTATTAATTAGGACTTATAAGTTACAGATCCTACTCCCCATTTCATGAGCAAAGTTCCACATGACTTATTCGACCACCACAGGGATACAGTTGTATCTACTGAGGTACCCTTTCTTCAGGTGTGACATAATTTACTTTTTATGCCACACATCTTTCAACTTTCCTATCAGGCCTCTCTTGGCCAATTCTTGTTTTTTTGACCCCGACGCTATTAGGTTTCGAGGGCTAGTGAGTCTTTCTTTTTTTCATTCTTTAGCTTTTTTTTAGGTAGGCCTTTGAACGGAGAGAGGAGCCTCGATAGTCGTAGAGAAGACAACCCTTCTAGGACACGGGAAGCTCGATAATGAAACCTCTGGTCCTCCAGGTTGGGGGTTTGGGCATTGGGCTTGCTCAACACCAGTAAAAAATTCAAATGCAAAATGCCCCAATACTCAGCCTCGGATAGGTCAATTATGGAAACAAAATCATGCGAGAAAAAGGACTTCGAATTTTGGTACATGGAATGTGCAGGGCTTAAATACTAAAGAAAAAGAAGTGTTTGCTGAAAGAAACTAACAGACAATTGGATATTACACCTGCTTATGAGGTAGAAGAAATAAGTTTAAATGAGATAAAGAACTCCATCAAAGAGATGAAAAATGGTAAATCTCCTGGCCCTGGAGGTTTTCCTGTAAAACTATTGTAAAATGCTCCAACCCACATATTAGAAATACTACCAATAATTTTTAATAAGTGTTTGCGAGGAGAAAAATTTCCTAGGGAATGGAAGCAAGTTTTTTAACCAATTCACAAGAAAGGACCAAAATCGGAGTGCAAAAATTATAGAGGTATAAGTGTAACTTCATCTACAGGAAGGCTGTATGGGCGAATTATAAAACAGAGAATTGACAGGGAGTTTAATGTAAATGATGAGCAAAGTGGGATTACAGCTGGTAGAAGTTGTATCGATAACATCTTTACAATAAAGCAGGTGCTAGAAAAGAGGTTAGATAGGAGATTTACCTTGTATTTATCGATTTAGAAAAAAAAAGCTTACGATACGGTCCTATTAGGTAAACTCATCCAAATTCTACAAAAGGTTGGTATCACCGCCCAATATATAAATGCAGTAAAAGATTGGTATGAGAATCAAGAATAAAAGTGGGAAAGTAAGTTTCGCAGTCATTAGGACAAAGGGTCTGAGAGAAGGGTGTTGTTTATCACTCTCTTTGTTTAAGATTTACCTCCAAGAAAGTCTAAAAGGATGGCAAAATATGTGCCAAGGTATGGGAATATACATTGATGAAGATTGCCTTCATACATTATTATTCGCTAATGATCAGGTGATTTTGTCCAATGATGAGTTTGACATGAAGTATATGTTGCGAAACCTTGCGGAAACATACAAAAAAGTAGGATTAAAGATCAATTTCCTCAAAACAAAATATATGGTAGTGGGAGAGAAGAAAAGAAATTATATACCAATAAATGGAGATCAGATAGAAGCATAACATGAATTTAAATATTTGGGTGAAATTATTAACGAAGAAGGAGATTCCAGAAAAGATATTGCTTCAAAAATTACACAAGGACAGCAAGCTATTAGGTAGTTAAACTCGCTGCTCTGGGGAAAAGAAATAAGTCTACCAAGTCTACCAAGAAAAGACTTTTCGACTCTATCATACAAAGTACAACATAGAATGGTACAGAAATATGGGAACTAAGGAAAAGAGAAAGAGAGAAATTAATGAGGCTACAAATGGATTTTTTGAGAAGTTGTGGAGTATCTAAAATGGAACATATTAAAAATGAAGAAATTCTTAAGCAAATAAAGGTTCAAAAATCAATAATAGATGAATTGGAAATACGAAGGCAGAAAGGGTTTGGTAATGTGAAAAGGCTTGATTAAGGGAGATGGCCCAGGAAGGTATGCGAGTGGTTTCCTTTAGACAGAAGAAAAAGAGGTAGACTCAGAGAGGAATGGCAGAATCAGATTTTTAACGATATGCAAAGAAGAGGACTAGAAGACAATGACTGAAACGAGAGTGGTATGGAGATTGGGATGCGAGAAACGGCCACAAGAGCTGTAAAGCACTCGCAAGAAGAAGAAGAAGCGAAGAAGTTACAGATAATGTAAAGAGTGAAGGCTGGAGTCAAAGCTCCCTAACATTTAAAAAGGAATTGGAATGATTTCACTGTCGGCAGGGAGCATTGACTGACGTCCAAAACGTAGAGCAGACATAAAATGCTCGTTGATGATGATTATGATAAATATAATGAACTATGACACTCCTTGATCAGTATCCCAATGCCAAGTAAGTTAGTGAATGTACATGTAATATTTGAACCAAGTTCTTAAATACTCAATTTTCGTCTACCACCCACTTATCCATACAGTCATGTTTTACATGTCAGCAACATTTACTGATGAAGAATTTCGAAGATACCCCTTCTATTTTGAAACAAAATAAACCCCTTATTTTTACCTAGGACACTGTACCAGTTACCTCCTTTGGTCGATGGAAAGCTGCCTCCTCCTCCTCTTCCTCTTCTGCCTCCGCTTCTGCACTGTTGTTAAAAGTGTCCGTATAAAATAGTTTATTGCGTGTCAGCACAAAGAAGTGCTTATTCCACTGTTTATCCACTGCATCTTCAAGGTACATTATTCCGTTTTTCACGGTATTTCGCAGATCCATGTCGACACCTGTCAAAGAATGCATAAAAGGATTTGTGCAAGAAGAATTTCACCTCCAGCTCTAATACATTTTAGCATATCAGGTGTGCAATTAAGGAATACAGAATTTAATGAGGTACCAATAGATTAATTACACAATGTTAGGAAAAAAATTCACTATGAAGGAAAGTTTTATATTATTGGTAATCATTGCAATTTTTTCTCTCCAATCATATAAAAGTGGTAGATTTTATGTGGTACTAAGCCAATGTTTTTCTTAAGGCAGCTGAAAAAAATATTTTTTTTCATATGAAATTGGAAATTAGTTTTAATAAGCAAGAAGAGTTGAGACGAAACAATGATTAGCGGAAATTAATTTGTAACAGAATAATATTTATACAATTGTGAAAAATTTTGGTTATATTTCGTGGGCAAAATGATTGTTTCGCATACTATCTTGCTGGTTTTTACCTTGACTTATCAGTCTCCACAAGAAAAACACCTCAATCTCAATCGTGTCAATAACGCACTTCACATAAAAAACAACAATTTTAACATTCTTTACCTATAAATTATTGGGCATTTTAAATATTTTTTATATACTATTTCATTAAATAATGAACTAGAAAGTACATTATAACATGTGCTAGGAAAGTCTCTTCACACTGTGCTAAATCATGGGCTCTTACTAAACAATTGCACCTCTGTACATAGTAACCAGATCACTGATACATGTAGTGCAATTACCTTCTTCACTGTGACCCAAAAAATGATCTTCATCCACACCCTCGGGTAATTTTTTGTGCTTCAGAAGAATCTTGTGTTTCAACTGATGAGGAGAGGGTAATTTTGTTTCGTTTCTCTCCACAGGAGCCACTAACAACATATCTCCAAATACTTCCTGCATAGCTTGTGCCATTTTACGTTGCTGAGGTAGAGAACAATTATCCTCAATAGATAGGATCACGGGATACCTACGGCAAAGAGTCAATAATACATTTAATACAAAAATATGTAAAGCAGAATTACTGATTTCATGAAACATTGTTAAGCATATAAAATAACACAGAAATAAAAATTAGTGAGCACAATATAAATGTAATACGTTGTAATGAGTAACTACACTTACACTCTGAATTAACAATAAACTTATATTCTCACATTACAATTACACAAGTTGTTTGAACAATATAAACATATTCAGGTCATAGCCTCTGTCCAACTTTTTTCCACCATATATCATACGGTTTTGGGGTAGATATGAAGGGTGAAATCTTGTTAACCAAATTTAGCCAAAAAAAGGAATAACATGCTTATTTTAATTAAATTCTTACCAATTCCACTAATATTAGAACATTATACCTAAAATTAAATTAGTGCCTATGGCAAATAATGAAGTCATTACATTCTGTACACAATTGACTTTGGTTTAGAAATTTTGAACAGCGCTTCTTAGGCATCACTGCAGAGGGCATGCTCATCAGTGTATTTCAAAGCAATTTATTGGCCAATTAAAGCCAATTAAATGGTAGTAATTCAAATCTAGCAGTGAATTGTTGTAGAAACCTCCACGAACAGTTAGTGAATGGTAAAATGGGTCAATGTAAACAAATATTCAGTATGAATTGTACACACACAGATTTGCTGGTCTTTGTAAATTAAGGTGACCTGCCGAAACCCGTACATTTTACAGACAGTGACCTGAATGTTTTAAGCAATTCACATCCATTAAAATTCTGCATTACAATATATTAAAATCACTTACTCTGATGTGTCAAATGCATGTTCTTTTATTGTGCGGATAACATCCATAAAACGAATTTTAGTAGTGAGTGTGTGTCCATGATAGATGAATGGCATTCCATCAGGACCATCCCAACAATCCAATTCAATACACCGACATCCCATTCGGAGACAACGAACATATGCTTCCACAGATGATTCACTCGAAAACTGGTCTCCAGTCAAGTACCTACAATAAATTTGATTTATTTAACTTTATAAGGTTTGAATATTTTGTGCTGTCTACAACATGGAAAAATGCTCAAAATGATACAAAAATCTGATTTTCAAATAAACATTTTAAACTAAATTGGCTGAAATATGAGTTGTCTTCAAAATTAGAGTCTTATGAAATAAGACTTTAAAATTCTTACAAAATGTTTCAATTTATAATTGTCATTCTAATTAGTTTACAATTAATATTTAGAATGACAACGAATAAAATTTGAATTCATTGTTTTTTAATTAAGGTTTACAATGAAACTATTTCAAATATGCACTTTTTTAATTGAAAATTAGTTTCAAAAGAAATGGGAGAAGAGAATTCATCATTGAACATGTTTTGCATAAGTTTGATCATTTCACTAGCCTAAAAAAGCTAAAATTGTTTGGCAGCTTTTAAAACAATTATTCAGTGATAGTATTTTGATTCTATTATCGTACAGTATCCTTAATTATAAAATAAGATTAATTACATAATTTTGTCTTAAGCACATTTTAAATTGGCACATACATTAATAAAAATTGAAAGTAGAAATAAAAGGCTTTAAAATAACATTTGTAATTATTTTTACAACTACTACATTTTTTGCTTTATTTCCTTTTTAATGCTTAAATGCCATTTTCTTAAAAGAAGCTCCAAATTTTTTCAAAGAAATTTGCCATTTAGGACAAGATTTTTCTCTTCTTCAATATTCTTAAAGTAATATTTCAGTTCTTCCTTTAGGAAACTGAAAAATTGAGAAAATGTCGAAAAAATGTACTTTGGGCCCCTGATATTGAAATGTACGTGTGTTTGTTGTTGTTGTTGTTGTTGAAAACATCTGTCCGCCCATGAACACCACTAGCACCGAAATCATAAGTATGATAGATATTCCCCAACCTATCTGCTTCAAGTCGAAGCTTCACGATTTTGTAAAATATTCTTCAAAATTTGAGGGTACTTTACTGAGACATTTTCAATTTTTTTCCTTCAATAATGGCTCCAAAATCTTTCTTTTAAGTTTTTTGAAATAATGTTATAAAATACACTTATAAAAATTCACCAGTTGAGCTCAAAATTCTGCATTTTGATAAACACTCAAACACTATTTTCTTAAAAATTGCTCAAAATTTTTCTTTAAACTTTTTAATGAATAGTGCAAATTGCACTCTTTAATTTGATATAAAGTTTATTTTGTGTTATTTTGTTTTTTCAAAAATTACACAAATGTATTTTTTTTTAAATATCTCATTTTCTTAATATGTACATTTCCAGCTATTTGTAAACACTATTGCGTTTTTGAGTAGAAGTGCTTCAAATGTCTTTTAATGAAGGTTTTCGATAAACTCAAAAATTTTCTGTGAAAAAGAACTTAAAATTTCACATTTCTAGTAAAACTCTAATTCTACGAACTCTACAAAAATTTTAAAGCTTTTACAGCATTGACTGCATTGCTGGAAGCAAATCAATTGTTTGACAGCTCACCACAACTATCAGCACATTCATCTTCATCTAACTCAAGACCACCTGCTACATGTGTTCCTTGAGAATTAGTAATGCCTGTACTAATAAAACCTAAACACAACACATTCCTTGAGTTCCTGTAGGATGACGTAGAAAATCGTTCATACTTGTTGGTCGCAAGTACCATTATGCTGGTTATTATATGGTCTTAAAGGGATCTTTATAATGGATTCCAGCTTAAAAAATGAGTAAACATAAAATGCATATCAGAAATAATTGGGTGTGGGAAGCGTAAGAATTTAGCAGGAGCTTAAAACACAATTAATAAACATGAAAAATGTGCAAGAGCTAAACATATAAATGTGTTTTTCTGTATATCAAAATTAATTGCATTAAATAAAAATATTATCTACAATTTATTTGCAAAGGATAGCATATGAACAACTCGTACAAGCCAATTTCCACTTGTGAAAAGACAAATATTATCTTACGGGAAATTTGAGAACTTGAGTCATTATGATTAATAAGCAATATTCTGTGAAATACAGGTTCAACATACGTATTATGGGATGATGCAATCCAATAATGAGCTAATGGCCGTGCCATATCCTGGTATACCACCTGATCGTATCGATGGTCCCAAATCTCATTCTGCTTGGAGAAGAGATAGTCCATAAACTAAACAATAGAAAAGAATTACTTTTTTTTTATTTGCAGAAATTGAAAATTCACCAAACATAAAATAAAAATTAACAGAATGAAATTTAATTTGGTGAAATTAGTACTAGGGAGGACAAGACACAACATACTTCCATAGTTGTAAAATATGGTTCTTGAACATTTCTTTGAGAGTCTTGAAGGAAATCTCGCATAAAGCGTGACACTTCACGCTCATCATTCCCCATTGGATCCTGCTGCTCTTGCACAAGAAAGCTTTGAAATTCTTGTAATGTCACAGTTTCTCCATTTTCTGAATATTGAGCATGTACATCAAAACTTTCTCGAAATGTCTGCAATAATTTTTTTCTGTATTATTTCCTTCTATCAAGATAATAAAAAAGTATGTAGATAATTAAAACTTACATTTTCATCAAACATAAGTTTGTGGTACAGAGTAGCAAAGTCATCAAATCCTAGCTCTCCTCTTTTTCTTACATCAACATCTTGGAACATTTCTCTCAATTTATTCATAGGTATTTTACAATTAACACGAGGCAAAAAAGCCTTTATATCTTTCAAAGTCACCCTGGAAATAAAATTAAAATGAGACACTTACATACTATTCATTATTTTCTTTACATTATCAAAAGAGAGAAAGAGTTATTGGAAGACCAAAAAATTGGTATATATATGAACATTTGGAAAATAAAAATAAATTTTAGGTTGACTGCTTAGCCAGAAACAGTGTTCTTACGTGCAGCTGAATGTGATGATGATGTGTAAGTAGTATTATTTTACATTATACTTGGGATATGCAGAAAAAATATTGAAGTACTTAGTTTTTAGCAAAACACCTTCAAAATATCATTATTTACAATTCAAATTATATATGCAATTGGTACAAAGCAATAAATGTACAGTAAGACAAATAGAAATTGGTGCCTAGCTACTGAAGACTAAAGTAAGGCAAAAGAAGTATGAACCTAATAACTTATAAATATAAGACTGTTTAAAAAAACAAAAATTGTGTACACCACAAATTCCACCCAGAAACTCAATTTTGGGCTGCATTTGGAAGGTGCAAGTTGAAAATTTCTGTACAAACTGTACCATTCAATTTCAAAAAGGAAAGTACGTTATGAAAATCTTACATCTTGTAAAGCAATTAAAGAAGAAAAAATGAATGGTCCAGACAGAAGGTCTACAAAAATTGGAAGAATCTTGCTGATAACCAAAAAAGAATAAGTACATTTAAGGAAAATATGTTTGTAAACTTCAGCACAGTGAATAACAAATTTTTTTGAAATTTTTGAATTACTAAAACATGTTGCCCAATATTTGTTTGTTTTTTTTCTTTTCAAGAACTTGAAACTCACATTTCTCTGCTATTTTCCATGTTATAAAATTCCTTCCTCAGCCATCTTTCAACTTGTAAAGGATATGGAGCATTTAAAGTATCAGTAACTAGATATTTAAGACCTCGCCTCCAAAGTTCACATTCCTTTTCTGAAAGAGCTGCACATAAAAATAAAAATATACTAAATAGATACAATGCCTAGCTTCAAGACATGGATTAAAAAAAAAATATTTGAAAATTCTCTCATACCTGCAACAGACAATGTTTTAAGACGGAACTCTAGACCATAAAACACTACAAAACATTTCATACTTTCCATTTTTTTGGCATCATCAGACCAACGTTCAAAATCTTTGGAATTTTTCCCTGGACGAATTTCCTTGACTTCCCACAGATCAACTAAAAAATATTTAAATATATTGTCACTTAATTATTGTCCAACATGGAAATGTAAGTCTTTTCAAAAAAATTGCATCACAAACCTGCGCCTTCAAAAGCACGACCTGTGTTAGCTCTAGACCAAACTATTTGTCTAGTTTCTCTTCTAATCATAAGTGTTTTTCTTTCAGGCCTTTTTCGTGGATAGAATTTTGTAACAACTGTACCCCTTTCAAGTTGACTAATAATCTGTTCCATTTCAGGAATGAAACCTCCAGAAGGAGGTACTCCATTTGGCAATCCCCACCTTGGCATGATGATATATGTTGAACACTTAAGAATGTCATCAAATTATTATAAATTCAAAACGCCACAAAAACATCCACAACAAGCTGTAAAAGAAAACATGAATATTAACCATGAACTACTGGCAAATGAGAAAGTTTCCAATATTCTATACTCTACAATCATTAAGTTATCATGTATTTACTACGCAACAAATATGCGAATTTTCTTTCCGTCAAAAATATTCATATCTTCGATATTGTATTGAAATTTCCATATCTATCATTGTCACATGCATCATTCTTTTGCATATACCTGAGGGAAAACATGAATAACGCGTAAAGACGTTCATGGTTTCACAAAGAAAGAAGCACATACGTGGACAAAAAATTTCAGCTTAAAAAGATGCACATCACATCACATCACATTTTCGAAATAACTTGACAACGCTGACAGCTGATCCACAGGCATCCACAAGAGCGCACAGGAGCAACACGCACAAACGTGACTCCTTTTTCCATAGTCCTCAAGTTTTCCACAAGATAGCATGCCATTCCAAATGCGGCCTTTGATCCTTCCCATGTGGCGACGGGGTGAGGGAAACAACCAGCCAGCAAGAGCTGATGCAATACGGCAGGCAACACGGAAGGAGTGAATTTGTGGCAGATGAACGATCATTTTGACGTCTAAATTTGAGTCGAGCACGTGAAGGAGCCTTTCCACGTATTTCATCAGTGATACTTGGCGTTTTCTACTAAAATGACGGAAGAAGAGGCAGTAAGTTGAAAGAAATTCCGTAACATAATAGGGCTTGCACGACCAGTAGGGTTCCCAAATACCACGAACTCTAATTTTCAACTTCTTAGTGTTCATGATAACTATGAAACTTGTGTGCCATTTTATACTTCTAAATTGTGTGAAAGTGCTTAAATGTGTAGATAAAAGTTTTTGGAGGTTATATGTTGCACGTACCAACGCTATTTTCAATGTGGTATGTTCCATTTCATGGTGTGAATGATATATTTTTTCTCTTTCTAAGATATTTGATCCTTTAATGAAGAAGAAGAGAAAGAAGAAGAAGACAGCTTTTGACATTGATGCAGCTTTGGCAGAAGGTGGCACAGAAGCTAATGAAAATTCTGAATCTGTTGGTGCAGGTGATAAAGAAAACCAAGAACCAGTGAAAACGGAAAACGAGAAGAATGAGAAAAATGAGAGCAAAGATGTTGATATGGATGGTTAGTTAATATTCATGTTACTAATTGAATATTGCGTATCGTTGTTTTAAAAGTGATTATAGCTTCGTATTGAAACCAAACTTAGAACGTTTTTGACAACTCGTGCTACGGAATGGGGTTATCTTACAAAACGTGAAAAAATGCTGCGAAAAAGAACTTTACTGCGAGTGGAACAGTACCAGAGTACTGTAAGGGATACGAAAACTCTTATTTTAAGTCCCTAAGACGCATTGTTGGCGAATTATACACCAAATAACGTGTGTTGCGGGTTGCTCGTGCGCCGGTTTTCCTTGTTTTAATGTGCGAACTTCTAATATTTTCGTCTTGACTCTGTTTGATGGTCCCCTGGGAAAGAGGGAAATTCTCAATCTAGCAATTACACACATACAGGGTTTTGTTATAAACAATACAAGATTTTCCTTGGTGTACATATTTTTTAATAAGGCCATAATGCCTGCATTGTGGAAATACTTCAATTTTTAGAATATCAATAAAATAATGATGGATTCTTGATAGGGAGAAAGACCGACAAATTAACCAATAACTAGTTGAATACCAGCAATTACATTGCACAAAAGATAGAACTGTTGAAAAGTTTACAATCTAAATGTACTGCACATGCACCATAGAAAATGGCAAAAACTCCCCAAAATATTGTTTCATGTCACTCTTAATTTCCAAAACTAATAAAATGAGGCAGGTGTACAAATTCTGGAACCCAGAGTTGAACAGGCTTCTGAAAATATAATAGAAATTATTGCCTAAATCTGTACACAAGTATTGTTGTTGGCTTTTGAAATATTTCCTGATACCCACCTTGACTTATAACATGATTCATCACGTTGAGAAGTTTTAGTAATGGGACACTTGACTGATGATTTCTGGATATAGATTGTATACACTTGTTAACCATTGCTTATTAAAACAGTTAATCTTTGAACTTGCTATCTTCACTTTGCCATCTATAACCAGGTGATGCAAGGATATCCTTTTATTGAATAGGAATGAGTCATGAAAATGACACAATGAACAAATGACTGCTGATAAGCATTCTTTCCATTAATTTATTATTTTATTATAATTGGTGATTTATCTATGAATCTAGTTAGTAAGCACAAGTGATGTATTGGGTCCACTGCCTTTCATTTAAAGAAAAGAGTTTAAAATATGGTTCAGTAGAAATCTCAGATAGTGTGGTGATATCTAAGCTCAGGTAAATGGAAAACCCTTCATGTTTTAGATATACAGATTTCATTTGCAATTGTTTTTTCTGGTTCCTTCAATAGTTCTGCCAAAGTACCCAAAATGGTCACTGATTATCTTTTATATTATTCACTGGTGGCTCATGGTCATGCCATTAGGGTGGGTCTTTTCTCTCCCTTCCTCTGTCTCAAACCCACATCCATATAGAAAGGCATGCATACATAAATATTCATTAACATTAATAATGACAATTAAATACAGCATCTTAAGAAGTCTGATAGTATGCATCCTTTTCTTTCACTTTAAACGACAATTGCCTAAATGCCGCATTTCCCTTTTTCTGACCTCTTTTCCTGCTGAATTCATGTATGACTGAGATCACCAGACTGACTTTTAATTTTCATTCTCTCCTTAATTTCCTTGAATATATCTTTGTTACATATCTCTCCATTTTCACTTTCATTTATAGCATAGGTGATAGTGATAGCAGACGTAGTTGGAGTGCTTAGTTCTCGGGTGTCTTCGACACTTACTTCAGAACTAGAAGAGTAATGCACATAATCTGTATCTGCTAAGTCATCAGTATATTATTTAAATAATTAAAAACATGATCTCCAAGATTAATATCTAATAAATATTAATATCCAACATGTTTTCCTTGTCTTACAGGTGTGTCACAACGCTTTTGATGTGGCATTTTAGTTATCACTGAAGTGAAAAAGAGTGCTAGTCACTATTATATTACTTGTATAAATGGTCAAAAGAGTAAATGTCAACTTGTACTGTTTTGTCTGCACATGACTTTTATTGAAATTTTATTTGTGTGTGCGCGTGGGAGTACTCACATGCACTAGAAAATTCAGTGATGCTGCACACTTACGACTTATACTCTTTTGACCAATCGTAAATATCAAAGTACTGACATGAAAAATGCCCTTATCACAATTGACAAAAAATTGTCTCATACTGCCTGCCCATCAAAGAATTTACCTGAATGTTCATATTGTAATATAATCTTTTGATCATAGATACCAACTTTGATTTTGAAAACTGTAGCAAAAAGAAAAAGAAGAAAAAGAAGCCTTTTAACATGGAAGACTTAGATGGAGCACTACCTGATATGGGTTCGAAGTCAAAAGATGAAGGATCTGCAGAAGCAGAGGCAGCCCAAGATGAAGGAGTGGTTGATGTAAGATAATAGTAATATTTGTTCATTTTTATTCACAAGTAATAATAAATGGCTAAATAATACGTACAAAATTATTTGTTTTAGGACAATTTTGACCTTGATATGGATTTCTCGAAAACAAAAAAGAAGAAAAAGAAGAAGAAGGATGTTGATGAACTTTTGGCTGAAAGTGAAGCTAATAAAGCAGAGGACAAAGATAATGGTGAATATTTTATTAATATTTTTGAAATTATTTCATATAGGGTTAAATGCTAGCAGTTTATAGTGTGAAGTACATTTGGTCTTATAGTATTTGCATTATTTGCTCTTACATGCTGCACTGAGGTGGAAAAATTCCCAGAGCCTGGTAAGAGTATTGAACTATGAATAATTCAATCTTTGTTTTTATGTGATATTAATTATTTTATTTCTTCTTGTAGTAGAAGATAGTGTTACTGCTTGGGCAAGTGAAGATAGAGATTATACATACGATGAACTTCTAACAAGAGTTTTTGAAATCATGAGGGACAAAAATCCTGACATGGTAGCTGGGAAGAAACAGAAATTTGTTATGCGACCCCCTCAGGTTGTTCGTATAGGAACCAAGAAAACCTCGTTTGCCAATTTTACTGAAATATGCAAAACGTATGTTGTTTTCACAGTTTTTAAACTATAATTTACATTTAAATGTGCTCATTGTTTTGAATTTTTTAAATTAAACTTTTTTATCCCAGTTATTTCCATCAAAGAAGATCATGAATAATATTATTAAACTGATAAAATTTACATTGCAGTTTGCATCGGCAACCTAAACATTTATTAGATTTCTTATTGGCTGAATTGGGTACAAGTGGATCTGTAGATGGCAATAATCAATTAATCATAAAAGGCCGCTTCCAGCAGAAGCAGATCGAGAATGTGCTACGCCGATACATTAAAGAGTATGTTACATGTCATACATGTCGTTCACCTGATACAATCCTTCAGAAGGACACCCGTCTCTTCTTCTTGCAATGTGAAATGTGTGGCTCGAGATGTTCTGTAGCTAGCATAAAGTCTGGTTTCCAGGTAAGTTTCTTATCTCCTAATTTGGTTTTATCACTGCTTATCTAAACTTTACTAGAATTAACCAATCTGAATTCTTAAGAAATTGGACTACATTGTCTTAAACTGTTACCCTTGATACATTTTTGAGTAAGTGAATGGAGAAATGTTTTTATATTTAAAATGTTCCTCTCAATAAAAGCAGATGGAATTGTTATTTAAAAATTTGGGGAAATATGTTGTAACAATTGTTAGAAAGTTGTTTCTTATGGAGTTTTAGAGTTTTAACATGGTTTTCTTTCTTTTTAGGCTGTCACTGGCAAGAGAGCGGCTATCAGAGCAAAAACTGCTTAGGTGTCACAGTGAAAAAATGTGTATTACGTCCTTTGCTAGATAGTTATAAACAGTTTTTTGTGTAAAAAGCTGAAATTTACAGGAACTTCCTGGATTTTTCTCTATATCTGCATTGTGAAATAATACATTTATTGAATAAAATATTGTTTGAAAAAAAATTATATCAATTCCAAAAAGAAAGATATAATATTTCCATTTTACATTATTGTCAATTAAACCTATATTGCTTTCATGCTTCAGTTTGTTGTAGTTGAGTCTTATTGTAATTAAAAATAAAGTATTTGTGTCTTGCTAACAGGATGGGAGAAATAAGAGGAAATAACTTTTTTTTTTTTTTTTTTTTTTCTTTTCCTTTCCCCTTTCTTTTTTTCCCCCCCCTTTCCCCCCTTTTTCAAATTTTTAATAATATAGATTTCAGATCATTGGAGCACTGGACTTGTACCATGGCTCATTACAGTATTCATAATATGTTCAGGTGTCCTCTTGCAATGTACAAAGTGATAAAAGGACTTCTTACTTTTAACTAATATTTTTACAGGATGAACAATTTGGGTCTTGTTGGCATTGTTTGGCATGAATGTGTGTTGTGTATTCTTTGGTCTTCTATTTTCATTTTTTCCAAATAAATTAACATGTCCAATGCAGAACTGTGCAGTTAAATGAACATCTTCAGTTAGGAATGCAACCTGACTAGTTGTAACCAGAATCCTATTCCCTGTTTTATGATGGTTCTTTCCGTCTGTTTTAGCTCACTCTTTGCATAATAATATTTACTTTTAAACTAGTGTTTATATGTTCCCACTACTAGTCTTATTCTAACCCAATTTCAGTTAGTTATTCTAAATACATCATTGGTTGTGTGCAATTTCTGATTACTATTAAATTTTCAAAGAGCAAGGTGCCTCACATATTGCACAGATTTTGAACCTTAACCACCTTGCCCTTTTTAATAACTGAAAATAGGAATCTACAATGTGAATGAATATAGAAACTGGTGGTGCTATAGCATATAATTTCTCTATTGGTAACTTGCATATTATTATAATATTACATTATATGATAATGTAATATTATAATAATGTAACTCCTGTTAACTCTCTGCTTTATTAACATTTCTATCATCTCTTGATAACGATTACATAAACGTAACTAATGTTTTGAAATGTGTGGACCTGAAATAATTCAAAGATCTAATATTGTGGAATAGGTTATATGAAGGATGAAATTGAGCTTTTAATATTGAAGGTATTCAATAGTTCAAAAAGCATTTGATCTTGGATACCAATAGTTCAAAACTTCATGAATTCTACTAATACTTGGAGAAAAAAGTGTACATGAAATAATTTAAAGATATAACCTTGAGAAATTTATGACTATCTCTACACTGTGTAAAGAAGAAGAAAGTTAAAATCCACCCCAACACCAAATGTTTCTTTAGTTCAACAATCAATGCTTAGAATTGACAGATTTTTTTATGAGCTCATCATTAGAGCCTGTATGTTTACGACATGCCATTTTTCCTTTAGTATTTCCAACAAAAATACACGTTAAACACAACTTTATCTACAATGACAAATTATGCAATTTTAACATGTCATGTACAGTCATAGTGTGGCTTTTTTAAACCCTTTTGTCATTTTCCATTCATTTTTCCTATTATGGCCATATTTCTCCATGAATTTTTGTATTTTTTTTCATATTTTTATTGTTTTGATTCCATATTCACTTACAGTCGTTTCAAAGAGATTTTTCAGTTTCCTAATTATTATCTAATTTCTTACAATTGTATCTAATTGTTGTACGCCTTTACTATAAATACATGTTTGGATGGTAAGCTATATAAGAGAAAAAAATGCACCAGATCCAAAGGAAGAGTTGGTTTAGTTTTCTTGAAGGTCAACCACATATATTTTACCATGTAGAATTGTCTTCATGGGGTGCCAAAGAAGGGGAGAGTTGTGAATGTACAAGATTTTAAAAGTATAATTTTAATATATGGTTATTTAAACAGCTACAAGATTTTGAAGGTTTCAAAAATGCAGTTAAAAAATGTTAGTCATATTTTCGTACTTTTTGTCATAAATACTTGCATATTTTTAATATTTTTTGTCATAAACATCCAGGCTCTAGTCATATTAAACACATGCTGATAACTACCCTGACTTTATGATCATCAAAGATGTAGAGACATAGTTCGATTGCTATTAAAGTCCAGAAATCAACAAAGAAAAATAGCTTGTGACACCCATTGCAAGTAATGAGAACTGATAATAATGAATGTTGGTTATAATTCTCTGTTAAATAAGACTAAAGAAATTTCGTGAGCTAACCCCTGGGTGTTATTTGCAGCTATTTCTAATTTGCCCATAAATAGTTTTCTTGGTTTTTCCATCATGCGGGTCATGTAGTATAAATAATACTCTGGGTAAATCTTGATGGTAAATATTTTTGTCATCTATCTGCAACCAATTGGTGCCACCCCACATTCATGTTTTATGTAGGAGTATCTGATCATTAACTTTTTTAATCCTTATTGTTGTGTGCTATTAAATTTCATTAGATTTTTGTACCGTGGCTCTTAAAATAAAATGCATACGCAGGTACACAAACATTGATAGTCAACTGCCAATATTGTAAAGTTAAAAGGATTGAAACTAATGAAATTCCTTGTAAGGTAAAACATAATGAAGATATTTGGTTAATTTCTTGTGGTTATCTTCAATTTCAAAATTATTGCATTGGCATATATTTTCATATGTAATTAAGTTCATGAGCAATGATAGGGATTGAAATTGCCCCTTTAATATTTTAGAATTTCCATTTAATTATTTTTAAGAGTGCTGTCATGCTTTAAACCCTTTTTCACTGCTTATGTTTTTATATTTAGGCAATAAAGAACTTTCATAAGAGAAAATTCTCGTTATGCACTATCAAGAAGACTAAATCCATGAAAGATTTTGAAAAAAAAAACAATTAACAATTGGTGAAAGCATTTTCTGGTTGATGGTCCTGCTTTAGAAGGAATGAAGGATTAAAAACATATTTGTATATTTCCTTAGCTTCTTTTCAAGGTCCTTGCTTGTATAGACAAAATATGTATTTTAAAAACATGATTGCCTATACTTACAGATGTAGACATCTGAATATTTTGATCCCCAACATTTATAAAAGAAAAAATCAGTTCCATGAAAATATAACTTCAAACCAAAACGAGCAAGGTTACGTTGCTAGCTTACTTCCCTTCGTTTATCTATCCCACATCCTAAACATAACTAGTAGTGAAAACTTTCTTGTATTATTGGTAATAATATTGCAACTTCTATTCTTCTAACAGTTCAGCCATCACTTGAAAAACTAACCAAGCAAAGCTCAAGAGGTTTGAAAGAAATACTTGTATTTAATTTATTTTTTAATTTAAAAGTTCAAATGAAAACCACTTTCTGCCAATGAATACAATGCTCTATTTTTACCAAAAGTTTAAAGAATGAAGACAAAAAAACTTGAACGCCAAGGTTTGTGATAAAAGAGCCCTTTTCCAGTGCTACAGTATCTTATGACAAGGCATGCAGGAATACTTAATGTTGCAGCTATTCTAACATATCCTCACAACATAATTCAACATTTTGCAAAAACTACTAAATAAAAAAACAATGAAATGATTTAATTTAATATTGAGGAATGTATCGCATTGGAAAAGTAGCGCTAAAACAGCATGTAACTTTTTGCCCTTGGTAATGGGTATATAATACCATTTATACCACAAATTCTCTCTGAATCAACACATCTCAGTCATTATTTTTTGAAAAAAATCTAAAAAAAGAACAATATTTTCAAGCAAATATCAACACAAATTTGACAATTATAACTCAGTAGAGTATTTATGCACTGGCCGGGGGGGGGGTAAATTTTTAGGGGCGGAAAAATTAAAAAGTATATAAGTTTCTAACACACACAGGAAATATAGGAATAATAATTATGTGGAAACATGACAACATGTGTACTGTTCGTATGAAGGCAGCATGCATTGATTAGTTTCCAAGAGCATAAAGGAGTTTGGCATCAAATCATCCCTAAATGGGTGCAGTATTTTTTGGACAATGCCTTGATACAGACATATGTCACAATATCTTTATTGTAAATGTTGACATGAAAGCAAGAGAAGAAAAAAATAGTGTACATGAAATATATTGAATACTTCGTTCAATATATTTATTCCAAAGTTGATAATTAATAATTTTACAAGATCCATGTACAGTAAAATCTGTCTAAACCGAAACCAGTACAAGCCAAATACCTGCCTTTACCAGAAAATTTCTTCGGCACGTAAAATTAAATGGCATTTAACACGACAAAATAGAGCCTGTCCCATGAGGAGAAAGGAAGTTTTTTTCTTCCTACATAAGGGATTTTTGATGAAAGGAATTTATCTGCAAGTCTATTTTAAATTCTCTATTCCTGTGACATTTGATTAGTTGTGGCAGCCACACGTTGCAGGAGAGTGGCTTCTGCTGCCAGCATAGAATTCGACCTTGGAATCACTTGTGTCTCAATGAGTAGGCTGTAGAGGAATTTCCTCCCTCTCAATCCTGAACATTGCTTCTAATTACAGGTCTTCCTGCTATGCATTGAAAATCATAACTTCTTGGCCAAATACATTGCTCAAGTCCATGTAAGACTAACAGAGAGTCATAGTACTCTGGGCCGTGGCGTATTGTATTGAAAGAGTCAGCAACCAGTCCAAATGCAGCCACTAGGCAGTCAGGTAGTGTGTATTTTTATGAGTTTCACAACCAGTTTAACCATGGTTGAAAAAAACATAAAACTCTAGCCTTAGATGAGAAGGTCAAACTTACAGAAGCAAGAGAAACTCAAACTGTCAATGAAGAATGTTTAATATTCATTTAATGGTGACATCTTCCATAAATACATTATAAGTTAATGTATTGTAATAATTATTATAAAATCCTGTAATATAGAACTTTGAGAGTGGAAATATCAATACCACAAATGTCATAAAATGGCCGACCTTGCATAATATTGGTTTGTAGTGTTAGTCATAAATCGTTGATTCTCAGTTTTGAGGGAGACCACTTCCTCGATAATCTACCAGTTTCATATTAATAATTTTAAAGTTCGCAAGGCAGACAGTCCTAATGGGTTCCTCTGTATGCATTATTGTGTGCTAATTTGTATGTTGAGTGTTAAAACATGCTCACCACATTTCCGAAAGGGGTGTTAAGCTCCTGTTTCCCATGTGTGGTTTGATCATTTGTCATAACCAGATCCACAACCACTGATCTTTGCCCATCTAAATGTTATTGCTGCAGTAATAAGATGCAAAAGGGATGTTGCTGTCAGGAATTCTATTTGTGGAGGTAGGGTGTGGCCACGTCAGGTTTGAAAAGTTAAAAGCCCTACAAATGAACACTATGTGTTTCCATACATTCTCCATTTTGAGCATCTCTAATATTGAAATATCTATGTTTATTGCCATTCAGGGTCACGGTTATCTCTTCTTTACTTTGGTTATATTCTTGTCTACAGATAGTTTCATTTATAGTTTTGCAATTCTGACAAATATCTGTATTTTTAACTGCAGTATTTGCATGTTTTAGTCTGCTGCAGCATATATTTCATAAGAATTTCCAAATTTGAACTTAAAAAGTTAAATATTTTGGGTTTTTAAAAATTGAGACATTTTCATGATTTTAATTCTCTATTACATAAACAGACAAAACATGTGTGACCATCTTTTCAATTTTATCATTTCTATACCATATTTTCATGAAACACTCCTTAATTTCATTCAACACCTCCCCTGCAGACATAACCATTTTGGAAATCTACACTCAAACAATTGAGGAAGTGTGATTATGTAAATATCTTGGATTATTTATTCAATGAAATGAAATTAATAAATAGGAGATATTTTGAAATTCTCATCATATATTTGGATATAATTATTATTATAATATCCAAAAATTAGGTCTCATTCATTCTTAAGAGCCTACATCCTTTAACACAGCTTTGCATATCATAGAGACAAATCAATCTACACTTAGGATAACTTTGGCATATATTTGTATAACAAATAACATTACATATATCAACGTTTACAAACAATTTCTTCATGTTTTGATATGACTGTACAATGATTTATCATCAGTGCAATAAAAAATGAATATCATATTTCTTACTGACAACCTGTACATCTTTTTATAACATCATCAGAAAACATTCAAAGTCATTCAGTTTACTTGCATCTCAATTTCAAATCCCAGGGTCATTCTCATTGAATTAACTCTTGGCCATCATGTAACAATAATCTCATCACACACACTTCAAATATCAGCATCATTCTTGCAAGCTCTCAATTGCTCGGTTCGTAGCTTGTATGGACAAACTGAGCAGAAGAAAGTTTTATGTTATGAAGTTACGCTGCCATAGAACCATATAAAGCAGGGCTGCAAAATTCAAAATTGAGTTAGAGAAGATTGGTAAAATCTATCAAATCTTAACAATGTATCTATTTTCTCAAAGATATGATTCTTTTTAAGGAAATAAAAAATTAACTTTCAATGCCTTCATGGAAATTTATAAATATTATATCATTTTAAATGAAAAAGCTTCCTTGATTTACATCTAGACTACAAAGGGTACAGCAGAATAAGATAGGTGAAATTGGCCAATTTAGGAACAAAATTACTATTTTCTATGAATTCTTCGTTAAAAAATAATTTCACTGTGGGGTCCACCCCTTTTTTGGACTTAGAAACACATCAGTTTTAAGTCTTAAACCATTACTTTCTTTTAGTTTAATTGTAATGTCCCTAGATCATTCTTATTATAAAAATGGTTGTGCAGTAATTTGAACTACTGACTGATTTGTCCATGGACAACTTCAACAACCCAGCATAATTTGGTAACGATGCATGATGTATTTGACTTTTCAGTACAAAATTGTTTTCTTTTACCTTTTAATGCTGACAGAAGAACTTTTTTTTTTCTTCTAACAAACTTACTACAACTTGGAATCCATGATCAACAATGCATATATCGCCAGGTTTCATGAAGGTAATGATACCCTTTGGGTCATTCAAAATTCTCGCATTATTTCGGCATCATTTTTATTGTTTCAAAAGGCCCACAACAATCAACAACATATCAGTAGAGCAAACAGTAAAAGGCTTGCACAATGAAATTATTTGTTGTTGAGAGTATGCTCTTTTTGGCACTCATTGTTAGTACTTTTCTGCTGTTTTATGTAAAAGCCATAGAATATCAAAACAAGTTGATTCCTATCTAACTGTAACAAAAGTCAGGAAACAAGTTGATTCCTGTCTAACTAATTTTGTTCCTAAATTAAGCTTTCGCTTTGAAATTATAAAAAAACATTTAAAAAAATTAAAACAGTAAGATGTTCAGTAAAAATTGTCCCTTATGTTGGTCTTAAGTATCAAAAATAACATTAAAAAATTAGTGAAATCTCAGAAAATTGTCTAAAAAAAATAGAGTTAGTTACATTACATGTCAAAAACATCTAAATTTTGGCGAGATACAGCATCAAGAGTGAGAAAGGGCAAAAAACACATGTTACAACATTACATCACTATTGTAACATAAACATTTATAAAATTTTGTTTTTTACATTCTTTTAGAAGTAGAATAGGATAATAACATCCTTATGTGGTTTGGTTGTGGGCCAGTTTCACCTATCTCATTCCGCTATAGCCTTAAGGCAATTATGATCTTATAGTGAAAAATTCAACCTCCAATATTTTTCTACTTCAAAACAGATAATTAAAAATTCTTTAAAACCATTAATATTTTGAGATTTATGTACTTACATTATGTAATTAAGGAAAAACATCCTTTAATGAAATGATATTTTTCACAAAAAATGTAATTACATCAAGTGAAATTCTTACCGAGGTTCATTCATAATGGCAGATAGATCAGGAGAGCGTCCAAGCACTTGCAAGACTCGGAAGAATGTTCTCAGGAAGAATAACCGAAGAGCTGCAACCCTGAAAAATAACATTAAGATATTTACAATATTGCACCTACATAAATATTTCCCGAAATTACGCATTTTAGGAAGTTGTGTTGTCTTAGAAAACAAAATCGTTTGCCACAATATGCATTCACTAGGCGTTCGCAATATGCAAGACTCACAGCTCTTGAACACCATATTTCATTACACTATTATCTTACAAATTTCATAAAGTGTAAAACAAGGTCCTTTAATTTTTACATTGCACTTTTTATTCAAATCCTGATAAATAAGTCCAATAATTAGAAATTAAAAGATTACCAAAGTCGGAATTCAAAGTAGCATCTTTCTCTCCAGCCAGCTAGCCTCTGGCGCAGACCAGCTTCAGGCGAAGCAAATGCGCCTTGTGTAGCACTTCGAGCCATCACAGTGTAACGATCAGTTGGGTCTCCATGTTCTCTGGCAATTGCCCGAATTGTATTCAGGTTCCTGCAGAAACAGCCAGTAAATGTACAATCTAATATGGAAATAAAAGCTTACAGGCACAAGTTATGTACTTCTGGCAATATGAGAAGCTGGTTTGAATTTCATTTAATGTATCTGAAAAGACTGGAAAAATTTTTGTTACTTAATGTGAGTAATAACATAGACTTCAACAGTGCAACAGACAAAATTTATGAAAGTTGATTAACACCTCTTCTAGAAATATCAAAGCTATTTTGCCAATGATGAAGGTGGAGAGAGAGAGTTCTCATGAATGATATTCAGTAACCAAGTTATATTCCATCCTACTTTGCTTTTATATCTAATTTTATAACCGAATTCAGACAGCTTCCTATCTGTTGACACCCACCATTAAGAGTCCTCTCTGAAAATCAAAGCAGAACTAAGTTTATGTATGCAAAAGTACTAGTGCTTATACAGGGCAATACAATAAATGAGAACTACAGGGAACATTGTTTCTGCAAACTAAAACTCATTGAACAAACTAAAACCTGTTTTGTTTTCAAAACACAGCCATGGATGTTTCTAATATGAACTTCACTGTAGAGGACACAAATATAATATGCATCATGTTGCCTGGCTTCAGTACAAGAATAACTAATAACTTTTGTTTGATTTGATATGCAGTCTACAAACAGGAAAAATACAATCCAACAGTCTAAATAAATGGTGGTTAAAGAATGATATGCTGAATGAAGTAAAGCATAGAGAGTAATGACCATTAACACCTTGTGTTCCAGTTGAACGATATAAAGAGCACAAAAAATAAATCCAATCAATCTAAGAAACAAACATTACAGAAGTAAAAAATATCAAAGGAAGTATGAAGTTCAGTAATCAGGAATCAGTTTGAAGAGCACTTGGTAATTAAAATGCTTAGAAAAATCAGACTACGTGACTATACCTGCAACCCCAAACTTTTATCACTTCCTCGCAAATTACAAATCATACATGATATGTACTACTTCTAATAATTTTCAGGATATAAGCCCACACATAGAAGAATTCAAGCTGCTACTCTTAAGAAAGAGAGCAAACTATTAAATAGAGTTAGCTAATAAGACAGACTGCACAGAATAGCTAGATTCATTTTTGTTAAATACAATAAAACAATGACTTCCTCAAGGAAATTAGAATCCCATACAGTGTGCTCAAGGAGAAAATGCAAGTCCTTTTAAAAACAAAATGTAAAATAAAAAAGATTTATTCACATTTCCCTCAACAAAATAATAATATGAGGATCTTAAATTTTTTATTTAAAATACATTTAAAAAGAAATTTTGGAAGCATTTATATACTTATCATCTTATTATTTAGGGATTTCTATTCCCTTATTTTAAAATTGTACAATTATTAGGATTTTTTTCTTTTTTTTTTATTTCTCTTTTCTTTTTTCCCTAAAGAGAGGACTAATGAAGAATGATGTGGGTGAAATTAGAAAGTCAAAGTTGACTCATTAATTTTGATATATAAAATATTTAAAAACCGTGCTCTGCACATACCGAACCACCAACAGCAAATTCCTGGGCATATCACGGAGAGCAGCCATGATTTTGTCAAAACGCTCCCGTGCTACATCAGTCATATACTTCATATCCTCTTCCGTAAGCCTAGTTCTCAACTGGAAGTCTATCCTGAGAGGACTTTGGGTCAGAATCTCAGCTAACTGTTGGTAGTCTGTAACAGGCAATACATTGTAAGCCTGCTGTATGATAATAAGACCAAACAAAATGCTCAGATCTTATTATGAAGGGATCATATTGCAATGTTTTGAAACCTTTATTAAAACCACACAAAGATTATATAATTTTCTCCTCTAAAAAATTATACTTCTACTGTTGGGACAGTGCATTATTGTACTTTGTGGCCTTTGATTGGAATATACATTCCACAAGGTCAAAAAATGTCTTCCAAACAAGATGTTAAATTAGATATTCAAAAAATGTTCTCAATGAAGGTAGTGCTGCCGTTGCTTACACCTGACCACTCTGTAAGTATGACTTATAGTTCTTTGTGCAAGAATTCCAAAATAACTGTTAGAAAAACTTTTAATGGAAAAAGCAATGATTTTCTTTACAATTCTTCTACAATTTAATTGAAACACCTTTCTACAATATTTTTCATGATGCACTTTCCTTTTTTGTGGTGGTAGGGATTTTTCATTAGAAATAGAGAGGAAAATTGAACTCCTGATTCATAGTTTTGCTTGTAATTTCTTTTCAGAGTTCTTTTTTGAGGGATCTACTTGTTAAATGAAGGAATATCAGAAAATAAACCAGCTTCTCATGACACCTTTTAACTTCAAATTTACATTATCATTTTACATATTTATATCAGATATTAAAATAAACAGATAATTAGTACAATTTTCACTTAACCATTCACTCTGGCAATAAACAAATGATGGTGAAAACTAAACAGTTTTTTAGTTAGCAAAAAATATTGTTGGGCTAATCTGTAGAAAAAAATAGATTAAGCTTCCAGCATTCAGACCAAAAATCACAATTCAGAAAGCTTTTTCATTTACAACAATACTAAGCTAAACAAGAATGATGTTAAATTGCATTTCTATTACTTACAAAAGAGAAAGGAATTTCAGCAATTAAATTTTCACAACTGTATGAAAAAAGAAAATTACACTCTAACCAAAGAATTGCCAATGTAACAAAATTTTACACCGTCTGATCACACATGTTTGGAGATTTTGTGGAGAAAACACAACAGTCATAATTTTGCATTTTAACTCTCTCTCTTTGACAAACAGCTGTAGACACAATTAGTACACATGTCCTCAAAGTGGTGTGCATCACCCCATGACCTCTGCAATATTCCCTAAGATCATTAGGATCAAAGAAATAAAAAAAAATTAAGGGCTGTTAAATATTGCAACTGTTTCTAATCAATTAAATTATTTAAATAATGTAATTATGACTTTTTGCAAATCTCTTATTTCATTTATAGAATTAAAATCATTTTGATAATTTTATTAACTAACAAACACACACCTTTTAAATTTCAAATTTTGAAATTTGTAATCAATAATTTTTTTGCATCAGACAATACCTATGCAACAAGCAGTAAACAAATTCTAAGCAGTTTTGCTGCAGTAAAATGACATAATACAAAAAATATGGCAATAATAACAATGATCGCTATTATAGGAAAACATAAGTTCCATCCCCCTCGCTCTTTTGGCCTTGGGTGTCAAGAACTGAAAGTACAATTCACACAATACTATCTGGGCTGAGTGAATAGATTTTAGTACTCCTCTGTGTTTTGAGAGCCATTTTTATAACATCATCAGATAAGTTAATATTTATAGACTTAAGAAGGAATTTCCAAAAATTAGAAAGAAAAAACTATAATAAGAAATATTTAGCACCAAGGGCTGAGCAATTTGAAAGTTAGTCATTGCATTAGAAATCACGTTCAAGATTAGATCAAATGAGCTGAAGAAATATGCATTATATAAAATTACATAACCACATTTCTCAAAACATGAAAAGTTGTGTAAAATTATAGGTATTATACTGAGAAATAATACTAATTATTTTAATATCAAGAATTAACTATCTGAAAATTAAATTATCATCTGCTCTGACACTTGTAATAAAAACCATTTACATTTTACTGCATGCATCATAATTTATGTTTATCAAAATCCATACTGTATGTCTGAACAACATTCAACAAAATGTATTGCTGTGTCAATGGAAAAGATACTTCCTCCAACTTCCATCTCTCCGTACTTCTTCCAGTTCCTCTCTCCAATTTTTCATTAATATTTAGCACTAGCAACACATTATGACAAGTTTAGGGCTCTTCCAAAACAAAAGATTTCTGAGCCAATTTTGAGATAAATTTGTTTAAGCATTGTTGAAAAATTGTCACTGTTTGATTACATGAATGGACATAATCACAATTAAGTTATTAACAACATTAATATGGCATTATTATTAATACAGGCTTCATTTAGTACTACTTTATGGGGAAAATTACAAAGTAGTACTTGTAAAACAAGTAATTTCAAAATAAGAATTAATATTAGGAATTTGAGATAATTCAGCTATAAAGAAAATGCAACTTTATTTAAGCATACTGTGTGCTATTTAAGCAAATATTTAAAAGAAAATTTTCGCTAAAATTCATGAGTATTTTTAACTTTGACTGGGAAGTTTAAAATAACTATTAATAATTTCTAGTTTGAAAATTCTCTTATTAAGATAAATTAATTTATAAACAAAAGCAGTACTTCAATTTTATTTATAATACTACTGTCAAGTCAATGCGAATTGCCATATACAATTTGCAAGTATAATCAAAATAAAACTCTTATGAGCAATACACTTTATTACCTTTAAAATACCCTAAGGATTACTGACATTTTTTTGACTGAAGCTTTAGACAGACTAATTACAAAAACAAACTTTAAGGTCAGTGTTTTCTGATTTTTTCTATACCACAAAATATAATTTTAAAAGTTCCTGATTTTGAATATTAGTTGAATCTGATCAAGTTAATAAGTGACCTAAAGATAAAATGTCCTGTAAATATCCTTGAAATGACATATTTATTGGAAGAATCTATTGTCCGAGTCAAGAAATGCATCTGTGAGGATCACATTAATAAGAGGTAAGTTATATTCAAAAACCAGAGATAAGACTGTCTTCCATTATTCAAGAATTTTAAGAGTAAATTTACTATGTGGTTCTTAAGGAGTATGTTACCATTGAAGAATTGCCTTTTTATACAGCTCCATTAGTGCCCAAAATTCCTTTCTCTTTCTCAGTGACATTGAGCAGAAGTTGAGAAATGGCCAAAGCAAACAAATGATGTTATGCAGCCTAACACAGGCTCACGTCTCTGCTGCAATGCTGTGGGCATATATACAGGGAGTCTGGCTACAACCACAGCCCACCAGCCGAGCACCAGTACCTAAGAACCAGCAACAGTTTGCTCGGAATGTCCCTAAGCACCTGCAGAGCCCGATCCTCAATGCGGTCTATATCCTGCCTCACTGCACGCCATTCTTCTGCTGTGAGGTGCTTGAAATTCTGTCTGGAGAAATTGGGCCCTTTGGCTCCAAAAAAGTAGCTAAATATGTCCGGTTCACCGCTGTCACGTGTAGGGATGTAACGCTGGGACACCATTATACAGAAGAGACGATAGTCATCTGCAAGGGACCACAAAATATCTTTTTTTTTCCAACCTTTCTTCACCTTTAGTAAGGATGTTAGTGACAATATTCTTTTAATTATGAAAAAGGGGCTGTCATGAGTAACTCATAAGTTTCAATAATATCTCTGAAGCAATAATAGTGGTGTTTGATTTAATATATTATGAATAAAACATTGCATATAATATTCTTGAAGCATATCAAACTACCTTATTAAACTCTTTAATATCAAAGAAAATTGATATTAAAAATAAAATAAATTTAAATTTCATATGTAATTGAATATGAGATATAATAAAAATATAATTGGTTAATAATTTTAATATAATCAGTTTCAAATACAGGAAAAAAAAAGAAAAAAGGAAAAAAAAGAAGTGAAAATTCATGCTTAGTCATTAAGAAAAACAAATACAAATAAATTAATGTACAAAAAATATTAAAGGAATAAATACATCCAGAAGAACATGAACATAGGTCTCATTCCATGCAAATAAAATGAACAAAGCCAATTATATAATATAAAGCTGCCATCCCTTAAAGAAAGAGCAAGGAAAAGAACAATAATCATAAGTACTGATTACTTCATTTTCAAGAAAAAAAGTTATTTGAAGATTTTTTTATCTTCAATAATGTACTTTGTAGGGAGTCCAAAACATTCCTAACTTTGGCAATTTTTGAAAATTCAGGGGTCACAGCACAAATTGAACTCATGCCATCTTTATAAATGACTTACACTCCATTCTTACAAGCAATATAAAGAAAAAAATTGGAGTCCACAGACGGATGGATAGATAGACCCTTTTTTGGGGCATCTCAAAACATATATACCACATAGAAACATCAACATTGATTTTCTGATTTACATAACTTTCTCAATATTTTGTACAATAGTCTGGGTAGACATACATATAGGCCTACGAAAGTACTGAGTTTTACTACGGATTACATGTACTTTCTCAAACAAGTTAGTTTCCTATTCTCTTCCGTCTGGGCTCCCCCCTTCTTTTTCCTTCTTTTTCAGTCCCCTAATAACAAATAGTGAAACGACTTTTAAATATTATAGAGGAGAGATGAGAGAGAGAGAGAGAGCAGAGGAGATGAGATAAAAGAGAGGAGAGAGGAACAAGGAGAAGAAGGGAAGAAGGGAGAAGATGATGATGAGAAAAAGAAAGAAGAGAAGAGAAGAAGAGGAAGAAGGAAGAAGAATGAAGAAGAAGAAGAAGAAGAAGAAGAAGAAGAAGAAGAAGAAGAAGAAGGAGGAAGGAGGAGGAGAGGAGGAGGAGGAAGATAGAAGAAGGAGGGGAGGATGGAGGCAGGTAGGATGGAGGAGGGGGGAGAGGAGGGAGGAGGAGAAGAACAGAAGAGAAGAAAAGAAGAAGTAAGAAGAAGAGAGGAGGAGAAGGAGAAGAAGAGCAGAAACAGAAGAAGAGAAGAAGAAGAAGGGAGGGAGGAGGAGAAGAAGAAGAGGAAGGGGAAGAAGAAGAAGGAGAAAAAAGAAGAAAGAGAAAAAAGAAAGGGCAGAAAGAGGAGAAAGAAGAGGAAGAAGAAGAAGAAGAAGAAGAAGAAGAAGAAAGAGAGAGAAGAAGGAGGAGAGAGGAGAAGAAGAGAAGAAGAAAGAAGAAGCAAGAGAAGAAGAAGAAGAAGAAGAAGAAAATAAGAAGAGAAAAAGAATGAGAGAAGAGAAAGAAGAAGAAGAAGAAGAAGAAAGAAGAAAGAAAGAAAAGAAAAAAAATGCAATATTTATCAATCTGATTCATATGCAATATTTATCAATATTTCTGTAATGTTAGTACCAAATTTGCCAAATTTGATGATTTTCGGCAGTCATCCATCCTACTAGGACACAGGTAAATAACATTTTGTCAAAAACGAAAACAGTATAATAAATATTATGTTGTAGCCCCTCTCTATGGAGATTTTCTCCAGCAAGTTTTAGAATATTCCATACCACTCAAAACAACAATTCCCTTACCAAAGTATGAAACTACCACTATTAAGGCATTAATATTATACCGTTTTTATTTAACTCCTTTTTTAATACCTGTATTGTGAATATGAAAAGTTTAATATGATGTATTACATTGCTTAAACTGTTCTATAAAAAAAAGCACTACTTGCAATACATTTACTATTGGTCATAGATTTTAATATTAAATATTAATGTAGAGGAGATGTTGATTCAAAATTTGCAGTTACTTTCTCAACTAATTGCAAGCAGACGGGGAAATAAAAAATAATAAATATTAAACAAAGTGAATAATTATATTCAAAATTAATAATTAGATTTTAATTCTATTAAGGTTCAATGAAATGATGTAAAAAGAATTTCCTCTACACATTCTATCTTCTAGTCAATTCACCACAACATACAATATTAAACTACAATGTACTCGTACATGTAACACAAAACCACGAATTTATAAACATTTTCAATAAATAAGAAAACTCTCTATGTTGTCTATGTAAACGACAAATATCCACTTTTCTGTATTATAAGGAGAAAGTTGTAATGTTAATATACGTTATTTTCATTTTATTAAATTTACTCAATGTTTAACAATAAGAAAAATGAATAACATGACAATAAATGAAGTAATTAAATGAAAACTCCTGTAAATAATCTCAGCAGAAATAAGGATGAATCACGTTACTGTCAGTGTAGTAATACTGACATGGTCAACATGGAGGATAAACTGGGTGAATAATACATCACACAGTAAGACTACCGGAAAAGCTTTATACAAAAATCAAGATTTCCAGAAATGCTAACAAATGTCAAATGTATAGAAAAACAATGTTAATGATAGAACCATTCCTGGACAAACTAACCAAACTTAATCATGTTCTCATTTCCAAAATAAGAAGTCTTCCTTAGTCTTAAAACAACACTTCATATTTTGAAGTTCAAAGACTTAGAATTTAAATATAGAGTGAGTTTTGTAACATTTTGTAATGTTTTAACCATCTCCAGAAATCAAAATAAAAAAATGTACCTTCTTCAAAAGGAAAGAAAATATCAACAGAATCAAAAGTTTTTATTTTAATATGCAATAACTCAATTGTTTAAAGGTACATTTAAATATTTCTTAATACTCTGTAAATAAATAAGACATAAAACTTGATGGTAATGTTTTTAATTTTCGGTAAAACAGAGAGAAAGAAAAAGGAAAGGAAAAACCAAGAAAACCCAAATTCATTCCAATACTACAGTGAGATTTTTTTTTCTTTTTTCAGTTTAACAGTTTGATTTTTATTTTTTGGACATACTTGTGTTGATGTAGAGGGAAGTTTGTTAAATTTAGTTGATGGTATGGCAAACTTTAAATCAAATCATAAAATAAATAGAATAAACATGAAAACATATTCTAACTATTCTTATTAAATAAAAACACCTGCAGTATGAAAGTCAGAATTGCAGCTTACATGTATATAAGTAAAAAATATATGCTTTACCATCTCATATAAAATTTTTTTTGAACCATGTTACACACACACACCTGCATGTACGCATGCACACGCACACACACATATTTTTATACCTTATATTCAAACTTTTCATAACAATTATTATACACATTAGTTCTTATAGAAATTTATTATCAAAATATATCTGAAATAGCTGGACATATGTGAACATTCTGCATAAACTAAATCAATTGTTTTATAGGTGAAAACAACTTTATGCTGGAACATCAACAGTCAACAGTAAACAAGCAACCCCTTAACTGTGTGTTTCAGCATAATAGGACTGGGATTCTACACGAGTTAACATTCTAAATGTATAAACAATCTAATATAGCTAAGCTTGATACAAAATTGCATAAATTATCCCAACATAAACTGTTCACTAATGAAATATAAGTATTTGATCACTCCCATCGAAGCAGAGGAATTTAACCCATACAATTTAATAGTTTTTGTTTTACCCTTTTGTTTTATTGCAGAGTTGGTATGCAGATGCCCTCTTAGGTAGAAGTTTGGTTGTTGTTCTTTTGTTTTTAATTGTTATTAATGATATTGTACTATATATACTTCTTGAAATATTTTTACTAGATACTACTTATTCAAGGAAAATTCTTAGTTAAATCCTTATTGATAATTTCCGATAGCCACATAGTATTACCAATGAAAATCAAGTAGTCCCTTTAATTTGAAACGGGAAAATTATTTCTGATTCTGTTCCTTCAAACCAAATTAACACGCATTTCAGGTTGCTGTTTGTTTTTGAATACCCCTTCTATCAAGTGAAAGTATCAGGAAGAGAAAATTTTTCAAAACTGTAATAGAAGGTTTTATACATTAGAGGTTAAGAATAAAAACTTGTGTCTCTTTAGGAAACATAATCATGGTTTTAGGGGCCTGTAGAATTTCTGAGTTATGCAGGATAGTGAAGTGTGTTGTGAAGTTGCATGTATGCTTGTCTTGATCCCTATACTATTATCTGCAGACTTTCTTCTTGTTACATCAGTTTGAAGGATGGCCAAAGGGACATTCCCCATTGAGCAGAAGTACACTTATGGCGTTTTGAGTTGATGGTTTCTAATAAATTTTACAAAACTATCTATTTTCCTTGGCATATTGTATAGGGAGAGGGTAGAAAAATAAGAGACATCACAGATAGACAGCTATATAAAAATGGATGTTGGTATATATGAGAGCAGTATACTCTGACACTGTGTGTGCAATCTCCATGAAAGTTGGCATATCCACGTGTTTTTCATCCAGGTTTGTATTCTGTTAATTTTGTTGTAACTCCACAAGATGGCACCGGAGACCAAAATTATGCTTCAGGGAGACAGACAGAAAGAGAGAGAGAGACAGAGACAGAGAGACTGTGTGTGAGTGAGAGAGAGAGAGAGTGAGTGAGAGAGAGAGTGAGAGTGAGAGAGAGTGAGAGAGAGTGAGCGAGAGTGAGCGAGAGAGAGTGAGAGAGAGTGTGAGAGAGAGAGTGAGAGAGTGAGAGTGAGAGAGAGCAAGAGAGTGAGAGAGAGTGAGAGAGAGAGAGAGAAAGGGAGAGGGAAGGAGAAAGAGGGGAGATGAAGGGCAGAACAACATTCGCCGGGTTCTGCCTGTAAAAGTGAAATTGAGCATCCCTTCTTAATAACAATGTTTGTAACTCAACATCATTGTAATGTCACAATTGACTGCCTGTAATTCTAAGATAGATGTACACCTGGATCATTCTTACATGGAAGTTTTGGCTTATAATACTGGACAATAACTTAATAATCAAACTTTTGATTCCTGAAGAAAAGTTGTTAATCTTGTTTTTTGTACAATGTAGTACATGAAAAAATTGATTGAAAGGAGCTTTTAAGATTCACCCACTTTAGATCACCAGCACTCTTTTGTTCCCAAGAGCACTTCTAAAAATATTTAGTATTTAATGATCTATTTACACTTGTCTGTTGTCAGTACACTTATCTTATATGAAGCCAATTATACAATGTAGAATTTAATTATATAATGACACAAAAATAAAAATAAAAGTTTTGCTTAACAGTGATGATTACACTTACAAAGGTTATCTTTTAACCTGTTGAAAATGTAAAATACAGGTTGAAAACCAAAAAGATCAAACCCAATGACAACAGTTCTAAGTGTATTGCAAGGCAGTTATTGGAAATTGTAGATGTAAAAGAGGATGCACAAGTGAGAAAATGGCACTCAGTTTTTAATATTACTTCTCTGAAGATTTCATTTGAATTGTCTGCATTATGCATATAGAACAAACTAATTTTACACTCCATAATTTTTTGATAACATAAAAACAATATCTCTCAAAATATAATATTTGTAGAATTCAGAAAAAAAACAAAACTTATGTTTTCCATTGGAGGAGTCAGTCAATAAATGTGAAATTTCTGTCTTAAAAGAGAAAATACAAAATGGAAAAAAATATGGCGAAGTCCTGCTTCGTTTCGAAAATGAAAGATAGTAATATATTCAATATTGGGATTTGCCAATAAGTCTAATTATTAGATACATAGAAAAGGAAAATATTTTACAGTTGCAAAAATACATTTTCGCACAGGAAACACTGGTATAATATTTTGTTAATCCCTATCCCTATCCATCACCGATTAGCAACAGTCAGAAACAAATATCAGAAATGTCCAGCTCAGAACCACTCAACACAAACATAACTTTAAAAGGAAACAAAGAGGAGCATCCCAAATAAACACAAGGTTATAACATGTAACACCAATGAACAAAACACGGTGATGAAACGCAAAGAACTGAAAATAAGTAGCAGCACTTACCCTTAACACCTAACTCAGCTGCAAAGCGCTGCATACCAGGGTGGTCATTGAGAACTATGGATCGCCACATGTGGCACAAGGATTTGCGTACCCGAGCTGGTAATACTTCATAAAGACCATGATCCAACACAACAAGCTGGGCCTTACCATCAGGTCCATGACGTACCAACACTATTCAAATAAACATTATTTTTTTAAATGAGTGATAATCATTATTTATCATTAATTACTTATATATAAACATTTATCATCACAGATATTGTGTTGGACAAAAGTATGCATATTGAAGTCTCACCATTGCCAGGGTGTGGGTCAGCATGTACAAACCCTGTATGGAAGATCTGCTCTGCAAAGGTATGAAACAGCTTGCGGTCAACATCAGCCAAGGAGAACCCTCGTTGCTGTAATTGCTTCTTGTCACTCACTTTTACACCGTCTACAAATTCAGTGGTCAACACACGCTGTAATCAGAGATAATTGTGACTTTTACCAAACATGCCGAAGTACAAAAGGTATATAAGTCTACAGTCAACAAAAGCCTTAAATGAATCTTAGTATTTTATGTTATACATTCAAGAACAGTGATTTTCAAAAATATGTGGAAATGGTTTTGTTTAGTAAATTTTCAGAAATTCTTTACACACAAAACCTACATTTTTTGTTCATATCTTATTAGAACATATTAGAAAATTATAGGAGATTTAAATTCAGCAGTTAAACTTTTTGAAGACTTTCTAGAAATTTTATTGGTGGACTTACAAGCTAATTAGAAACAGTACATAAACACGATTTCCTGGTGCTTGATTTTATACTACATATTCTCAAACATTGCTCATCCTTGTATAGAATTAAAAATTGAAATTTTTTCACAAAATGACATATGTTAGCTATGTCTAATACTCACGAATAGACTGCAATAACCACAATTTAAAAAAATAAAAATAATACAAATTATGATAATGATAATAAGAATAACGGTATTAATAATAAATATAAAATGATTTACCAAAAAACTTATACAATGAAAAGTTTTAAGCCTTGTTAAAATAACACTATTTTTTAATGCGAAAAACAATAATGTACACATTAATGTATACATTTATATATACATAAGAAATATATATATATATATATATATTATATATATATATATATATATTATATATACTATATATATAATATAAGAAATAAAATTAAACACTATTAATACATATGCTCCATAAATTCTTCAATTTATAAGGTTATATTTTTACATTAAATATGATTTTTTCTCACTAAATGTTAGGGAAGCTCATTGTCTGATTAAAATGGGTTTTACGATTATAGGGTGCCGCTCATTCTCTGAAGGACAATTTCCACTGAACTTTTTCAGTTTTCCAGAGCATTTAAAAAAATGTTTCACGAATTAGATATGAAGAAGTATTTAACCTGTTTACGAAAATCATTAAGCGCAAGTCTGAACTAATTTGTCAGTTCTCTGAATTCACCGTGATAACATATCAAAGTTCAAAAATTCAACAATAGAAGATTGAGCTTGAAAATAATTCTGTGTTATTTATTTTTAGGAAACATATCTAGCTTTATAACCACCTCAAACTTTTCTTTGACTTCTAAACAATTCTTCCACAATTTCCTGATTTCCCCTGGACTTTTACATTTCAACATTGCTAATTTTAATTAAAATTGGGGGGGTCCGGAGAATTCCCATAACGCATTTCATATTGTTCGAATAATTTTTTTTGCGCAATTGAACCCTACCAATACATGACAACTCAAAAAATGTACATCTCTAATTGTCGCAGAAGGTCCGAACTTCACTTTGGACAACGCACATTCAGAATATACGCCCTAAATTTAGTTACGAGCCGCACGCGTAAAACCGGCCCTGTGCAGCCTTTTTTGATCCAATTCCGGCCTCCGGGTGACCCTCCTCGCGCAGTCCCTTCTTTCGTGCGGCAAGATCCCGAGGGGCGGTGAGGAGGCGAAGGCGCGCGCGGCGGAAGGAAGTGCGCAGGTGCGTGGAGGGCGCCTAGACAATGGGGGCACCGGTTTCCTGGCGGATGGTCACGCCGCGGCGAGCGCGAACGCCGGAGCAGGAGAAACTCAGCGGTGACGGGTGCAAGGGCAGGGGGTGGCATGCTTGGCTGCCCGTAGCGATGGCCAGGGGAATGGGAGCGGCCCACGCAAGGAAGAGGGATGGCGGGGGGGGGCGGCCACGGGCCATCAGTGGTGGTGGTGGTGTGGTGGGTGGTGGGGGTGGTGGTGGTGGTGGTGGTGGTGGTGGTGGTGGTTGGCGGGCGGTGGCGGCGGCGGCGAGCGGGCCGGCGGGCGGGGCGGCCGGCGGAGGCGGCGGCGGCGGCGGCGGCGGCGGGCGGAGGCGGGAAGGCGGGAGGCGGAGGCGAGAACGACGACGACGCGACTTTTTGGGGCGTGCAAGATGGTTGAGAAGAGCAGCTGTCCTATCGTCGAGGATCTTCCTGCGACTTCCTATCGTCTTCATGCAGTTGTTCACTCAGATGGGCTAGCTGAGAATCGAGATGTCTTTTGTGGGCGCTCCCTTACCCACAATTATGCCATTTACGCATATTTTCATCGCCGCTACGAAACCCTACCCCGTCCCCCATTACCAAAACAGTTGAATTATGAATAAGAGATGGAGCTCTGTAGACATTTAATAACAAACAATATATTGATAAATCTCGATACTTTGTAAAATTAATTTTAAAAAATGAATTCGTTTTCTTTTTACATATACAACTGATATTTTTTATTTCGTTAAATTACTAGTATTATCTACGGAGTAAGTTGTATTGTTGATGTTATTGTTATTCTAACTATTAATATTTATTTGCAGTGTTGTGTTCTGAATTGGGGGGTGCTGTGAAGGCTTGCGTGGTATTTTTTTTAAATGTTTGTCAAGTATTCTATTGTTGATCAATGCAGAATTAATGACTGTAACGTTAATGCATTTAGACAAGTTCCTACATGTAATTGCACTATTAATAATAAATCTAATCTAAAATGAACGATCAGTAACATTAGGTAAGAGTAATTAACGAAGATTGAAAAGTCTTTTTTTTTCTTCTGGAAATCGAAAAAAGGGGACTTCACCGGTTTTGTAACTCAGTCCTTCGCGTAATAAAAATAGTTCCGGTTTTTAGATTTATTTCCCGACTCCTTCAAGGTGTCGAGTATAACGGGCCAGGGCATCCTGTCAGTGCGGCTTGTTGCGCAAGATAGAGGTGCATGTACCAATGGAGTGAAGATATAACGAAAACCAGCAACAAAGTGATCCGAGGGGCAGAAATTGCAGCGTTTGTTGTTGGAATAGAACGCAACAATTAGTTAGTGACTTTCATTTGATTACGATTCCTGTTTCCCAGCGCGCCAGCAGCTAACGTCATTAGTGCCATTAGGGTAGTGCGTGTTTTCTCTTCGAGAGTTGGCGGTGATCACCTATTGGCTGATGAGATCCGGCGCCGACTTACACAGCGGCTAGCGGGGTTTCCCCAATCAGGTATCTCCCACCAGCAGGGCACCGCAACAGCCAGGGCAAACTAATTCTACCGACCGGTCTCCTTGCAGATGTGGTAGTGTACTGAATGTAAATGTAAGTGTGTGTGTGTGTGTGTGTGTGTGTGTGTGTGTGTGTGTGTGTGTGTGTGTTTGTGTGTAAGTCTACTGCGATTTTTGCAACTCTGTCCATGGCAGGTATCAGCTGTTGACAGTTTCATCCAATCGGGAGCTTGAACGGCACCATAGTGACGTCACTGTGGTAAGATCCAGCTCTCGATTGGATGAAATTGTCGACAGCTGATACCTGCCAGGAGCAGAGTAGCGAAAATCGCAGCAGACTTACACACACAAAGAAATGATGAGGAAAATCCTGCCACCATCAGGTCTCGAACCGTAAGACCTCCGCTGCAGCGACCTCAACGCCCCGCGTACGCACCTGGCTGGTGAGGTCCCACAGCACCTGGGGCACGTGCACGTAGGGCAGGTGCGCCAGGTCCTTGGCGCAGCGCTCGCCGTTGCGGCCCTCGTGGCCGAAGTCGAGCTCCTGCTGCAGCGTGGCGCGCAGGTCCTCCACCACCCACTCGAAGTCGAACTTGGGGTGCATCCAGCCGGCGAGGCGCGTCAGCAGGCGCACCGTCGACACGTCGCCGTGGAAGCGCTCGCGCAGGTCGGCGTACTGCACCTTCACCGCCACCTCGCGCCCGTCGTGCGTGCGCGCGCGGAACACCTGCGCACACCGCCGCGCTCCACACCACTCCACTCCACACCACACACCACTCCGCCCTCGCATGAGGAGAATGCGCACGGCACCGGCCGCCTTAATATGTGTTTTCCTGCCAGCAACACTCTGATACTCGATAAACACTCGCATTACAATTAGGGATGGCAGAAAACATCGATGTTTTTTAAACAGCAATCTTTTTCGAGAAGAAACATCGATACTATAATCGAGGTTTTGCATTCGATATTTTCTAAAAATCGATATACTCATATTTGTCCAGAACCATATTTTTTTTATAGTTTCATGATATGTAAATAGAATTTTCAGTGTGTGAGTGAGTGTGTGTGTGTGTGTGTGTGTGTGTGTGAGAATTGTGGGTGATCTGGGCTGTCCGTGTGACGCCGCATCGAAGGCTGAGTTGCCGACGTTTCGACCATCCTGTCGTGGTCTTCCTCAGGGCTGATATGAATGTCTTGGTAAATTTGTATAATTCCTCCCCGTAGAGGGTAGTTAAATGAAGTCGTAGGCTTCCGCGACCAGAGTCATGTGGGTGATCTGGGCTGTCCGGGTGATATGTGGGTGATCTGGGCTGTCCGGTATGATACCAGCCCTGAGGAAGACCCTGGATGACTCTGGTCGCGGAAGCCTACGACTACGTGTGTGTGAATTGTTCGCAATCAACAACCACTGACAACTGTCACTGTTGTCGATCCCCAGGAGGAACGAAACTGTTTGCTATTCGCAACCTTTCTCCAGTGTTGTTACCTTTTTGATTATTTTGTACGTGGCAATATCGTTTAAGAGCATTTAGAATCTTTGAATATCAAGAACATAGTCAATTTTATGGTGTATACTGTACTTTAAACTATTATTGACGTATTATGTATCACATTAGAACCAGGACGTTTTGATTCGAAATATTTCATCTCACTTAAAACATCGATATTTTAAATATTATATTTTAAATATAAATGCATTCTCTACAAGTTAGTGTTAAAATATACTTTTTTTAAAGACAAGGCAGAGGGGTTTCTATTTTGAACATTCTACATAATTGCAGACCTTTCCGCGGGGACAAAGATATCCAAGGACTTTTTTACATTATTTTTTTAAGAATTAGTTCAACATTTGTTAATAGGGCATCCCAGATCTTTTTAATATCTTAAAATTTATCCCAATTTCAAACAGAACTGGAAAAGGAAAATGTCAGTTGGAGAGGAAATTTCACCTAGAAGAAATGCTTGAAGTAACCGATACTGGAAATCCTGTTACTATCACAAAGTAGGCGGTAAGAAATCCCAGGAAGCGGTGAAATAAAATGGGAAATTGTGAGGCAGGAGACATCGTAAAAGAAGCATAACGAATGGCAGCGAGAACACTGTTGGGAAGACCAGGCGTCCTCAATTCAGAGAAACTAGGAAGAAACCCGCGGCAGGAAGCGGCAACGAGGACAAGGCGCAACGGCAGCGCTGGCAGAAGTTGCACTTCACGAGCGTCACTCGGCAACACGACTAGTGAACAGCTACTAAGAAAAGTTATGTGCGACGTTTCAGGTAGCAGAAGGAGACCCACCCAGGCTACTTAACGAACTCGTAGTGTGAGAACCTATTCGTTATAGTGTCAACGATGAAGCTCGTAGTCTATTTCGCAATGGACGCATTAAACTATTAAATACTTCAACACCAGAAAGGAAGACTGCTAGACTTACTCTCAAAATAACCTCATTTATTACTTTGAGGCGATAATCGTGTTCTTTATTAAAAAAAAACACGTATGTCTCAAGATGTTTTAAGTAAAACAGAAATGCCATTCGAATTACCGATCAAGGGGTTGTGATGAATACAACAAAAATTTCACTTCCTTTTGGAAAAGATTACATGGAGTTTTACTTAATATTTTGTTTCAAACAAAACAGGGAAATATAGTAGACTTTAAATAAAAACTTGGAACAAAATCGAGCCTATTTTTTTAAGACATGTAATACTCGTATTCATATTATGTTATCATAAGAAACCAATGTACTAAATCATCACTTCCCCGCCTGCAAATGCATTCTATTTATGAGAAAGGATGAATAGTGATTTGACCAAATAATAAAAACTACAGTAATGATATACTCCAACAATTTAACGACTTTTGTCCAATACGTTCCAATATACTGAGCACATAAATATGAAACATTTCGTGACACACATACCCAAACATATTTTACTATAGTGCCCTCTTTCCTCACAGTGTTATTATTAGTTATGTGAGTAAAATCCTTGAAAATAATTTATGCTGAGCAAAAATAAATAACGTAAAAAATCCTTAAGTAAGTTATGATCCAGCTCGTAACATCATTAACGGTGCTGCACTAATACACGCTAGTATCAAAATATTTCACGCTCTGACGTGGTGAGTGTCCACTTATCGCAGGTGTACCAAGTGCATGCAAAAGCAAACATCAACTTCTCCACATCATTTCCGAAAAAGGCTATGCTAATTACGTAAACAAACATTTTTGGGTAGTGCGCCTTCACTTTCAAGACTTCAGTTTTTTTCTAACGCACTCAAAGAGCTCCTTAGTTCATAGAACTTCGTTGAATTTGAATTTTACAGGGAATCCGAACAAATTGAAACTAATTATTTCAGACTTAATACCTTAACATCATTTTTAACACAGGTTTAAATCGATTTACAAAAGCACAATTTTTTGAATGCGTCGAGAAACCGTGAATGCGTGGAGAATGAGTACCAACCGGAATCTTGCTTCATGTTGTTTAATAGTGAGCATATGTATGTCATATGTACCGTACCGATGTCGCGGCGCAGCCAGCCATGAGAACGCGTAATGTTTCATGTGTTGTTGGTTTTCGTATGCTACGCTTTCTTATTCTATAGTACACAGAGGAAAAATATTGTTATCACCTCAATAATACGGTTTCGGATGTACGGTCATATAGAACGTGTTTCAAGTTCTTTTGAGATTAAACTTCGCACACAAGCCAGGAATAAGGCCTATTACAGTTGTCCCAAGCCTCGTGGTCTCGCCCGCTTTCCACTACACGGCCCCGGGTTCGATTACCGGTCAGGTAAGATTATAGTGTGCGTTTTCCTTGCAATGTCCCAGTATATGTTGATGTGTGACGAAGAGAAAATTCACTTCTCCGGTTGAGAAGACCCGAATACGACGTGGGGATGTCTACGTGCTAATCACACGTACCCCCTTAACCATGGCCGCGAGGCAGGGACGCCGCCGTTCCCGCCTGAGCGCGTTTACGGGCTGTCGCGCCAAGTACAACAAAAAAGACAGAAAGAAAGAGTTGTCCCAAAGGTGTAGGACAGGGAAAAGATCTAGTGCCAGTCCGGAGATCATTTAGATATTTTCATTTTTTTTGGAGTACTTTACATTAATCTCTTCTGGTATTTTCGGAATTATCTGGGAAATGGCTACAACTATTTTCTTTAAACTGATTTGCTCGAATATAGTATAGTTCTGAGTTTCATTAAAATCTTTGAAAGTTTAAACATTTCAAAATTTCAAATTTATTTTCGAACCTTTCCTTACACCCCCAGTATTGAAAGCATATATTTTTTTTTTTCCGAAATGCAATTTCCCTCTCAAATTTAGATCTAAAAATGACGTTTTGCACTTTTTTAATATGAGTAGTTAAGTATACACTAAGAGGAGGAAATTCGGTATGCCGCGTCTTCCTATTAGTTAACATAATCTTCACAAAAGTGAATTGCTTAGGATAATCACTAGTTATATAAACCGGCATCCATGTCAGTATTTAGGGGCGTCACTTGACAGATGTACGAGTCCGCAGAATACATAAATTGACCACATGACATTGAAAACAAGGGAGAGGGGAGAATTTTATTATTAGCGTCATGACTCATATTAAATCGTAGGAAGGTAACACAGCCGGTGATGCTAATCAGCGTGCTTTTCTTTCGCGTAGGGCTCCGGTAATCTATCACCCCAGTGTAACTTCACACTCTCGCTGTCCTTGGTGGTATAGCATAGATTCAGAGGTTCTGGAAGAAAATGTGAGGTGAGAAGGAATGTCGTATGAAGAGTTCTATGGAAAAACAGATCAGAAAGTGGAAATTATTGGTTTTGTGTTCGGTTTCAGCAACATAAATACTGAAGTGTTGGAGGAACAGGCAAAAATTGCAAATACTAAAACAAAATATGGGAAGTTAAAAAATGAGCTCATCGTTAAAAAACGCCACTGAGTTAAATTCTAAATATGTCTATCGCGGTATTTCGATTCTAGATGGCAATGTGGAGACAGGCTGTGTCCCAGATCACCGATCATGCCAAAGGAATGTAACCAAACTAATATCTGGAAGGAAGATAGCTGGGTTTCCGGACAACGAGAAAAAATCAAAAAGACCAACAAATATTCTAAAGACATAAAACGAAGGAAAAAAGAGAAAAATAATAGGGCACATGGAAGAAAAAAATGAAAAAGCAGACAGAAAGAAATCAACAAAAAACGATTAAGGGAAGAAAGACGAAAGAAAAAAGAAAAGATTGGAAGAAAAGAAAATACAAAATTTGCAAGAAAACGTTTAAAAAAAGAAAGAAAGAAATAGGGAGAGAGAAAGAAAAGAGAAAAGATAGAAGGCGAGAAGAAAGAGTGAAAAGAAAGAACGAAAAGAGAAAAAAGTAAAGCATCGAGAAGGAAGCAAAGAGACAGAAGGAAGTAGAGGGAAAGAGAATAAAGATAGAAAGAAAGAAATAGAGAGAGAAAAGAGAGAGAGAGGGAGAGAAAGAGAGAGAGAAAGAGAGGAGAGAGAATAAAGATAAAAAGAAAGAGAGAGGAGAGAGAGGAGAGAGAATAAAGATAGAAAGAAAGAGAGAGCAAGAGAGAGAGAGAGAATAAAGATAGAAAGAAAGAGAGAGGAGAGAGAACAAAGATAGAAAGAAAGAAAGAGAGAGCAAGAGAGAGAGAGAGAGAGAGAGAGAGAGAGAGAGAGAGAGAGAAGCTGACCTGCGCGAGCGAGGCGGCGGCGATGGGCGTCTCGTCGAAGGCGGCGAAGAGGTCGGTGTGCGCGCGGCCGCCGAAGTCCTCGCGGAAGACCTCCTCGAGCTCGCCCGCGCCGCGCGCCAGGCACTGGTCCTGCAGCGGGCGCAGCGTCTCGATGTAGGCGCGCGGCAGGATGTGGTTGACGGAGACCAGCCCCTGGCCCAGCTTGATGTAGAGGCCGCCGTTGCTGAGGCACGCCTCGAACAGGCGCCGCGCGCCGCGCTCGTGCGCGCCCTCCAGCGCCCGCTCGTACTCGTCGCTGCCGTCGCGCAGCCCGTGCAGCGCCCACCTGCGCATGCGCACCCCCCCTCCGTCACATTGACACATTTGATTCATTAGCGTTTGAGGGCGCGTCAACGGCCAACGTCATTGGTTCCGGAAGTTTAGATTTTTTTTTAACGCGGAGGTGGTTGTATTCTGCCTCCGCTGGATGGAGGCGCCGACCTACAAGTCGGCTTGTCCGGTTTTCCCTAATCAGGCTCCTCCCATCAGCGGGGTACCGCCCCAGCCGAGAGGTCAGAGGCTCTGCAATGCCATTCATTGATGACCCGAGCCACCTAAGCGGTCATCATCGCGCAAAAGCAGCGGGGGATTCCCCTGAGGGCTTCTTGGGATTGCCGTCCACGGGATGGCGGACAAATAAAAAAAAATCATCGTGGGATGGGAGATTCTTCCAAGCGATTTTTTCCCCAGCCAGATACGTATTCTTCCAAGCGATTTTTTTTTTGTACTTCGAATGTACTAACAGTTACAAACAAAGGGATTTACGTTAAAAGAAAAAAATAATATTACAATTAAAAGGCAATAACTAGGATATTTAGTTCACACACATTTACGTTTATAAACTCAATTAACTTTACAACTCAAGCAACCACTACCCAAAAGTTTTGAACTGACCACCCCTGCCCCGACTTACTGCGCAATGAATCTTATTTTCTTAATCCACAGATGCATCAATAGCAATGAAAAACATCCCTCTGTAGAGTTGCCTGTTCAAGAGATTCGGAATTAACTACAACGCGAAAGAAATATTGTAAATCATCGAGCCGTTTGAAGCGAAATCACTTTGGCGGGCTAAAGAACCACAAAAAGATTGGCACATATAGAAACTACCCCCTCAGAAAAAATGACACGTGTGACAGAAATGTGCATGTTTCCTACGCATTCAATAATGAAATTTGGACCCAATGCATAGTATTTTTAACACGTCATAAGAAAATAGACCAGGTCCATGAAGAAAGAATAATTTTCGTTTACAGCATGACATTCTAGGGAGAAACTGCGTCGATTCAAACTTACTGCGTTTCGACTGCGGTTTTTCCTGTCCCCCAAAATACTCACTTTGATCCCGACTTGTGTTTTCCACAATTGAAGATCCAAAGCGTTGTGTCCACACAGTGAAGGTTCGGAAGGGCAGAGGCCCAAAGATGAATCCGCCCACCTCCGCAAAAGACTATGCTGCATTCCGGGGTCTTTTCATACCCCAAATCTCAAAAGATGAATCCTCCCACCCCCCAAAAGACTATGCAGCATTCCGGGGTCGTTTCATACCCCATTTCTTAAAAGATGAATCCTTCCACCCCCAAAAGACTATGCTGCATTCTAAAGTCGTTTCATACCCCATTTCTGAAAAGATTAATATTCCCACTCCCCAAATACTATTCTGCATCCGGAGGTCGTTTCTTCCCCATTTCTCAAAAGATTAATACTCCCACTCCCCAAATACAATTCTGCATTCGAGGGGTCGATTCATACACTATTACTCAAAAAAAATAACCTTCCACCCCCTAAATGACTATTCTGCATTCGGGAAGTAGTTTCATATCCCATTTCTCAAAAGATTAATCCTCCGAACCCCCAAAAGACTATGCTGCATTTGGGGATCGTTTCATACCCTAATCCTCAAAAGATGTATCATCCCATCACCAAAAAGATTATGCTGTCTTCCGGGGTTGTCTCATACCCCAATTCTCAAAAGATTAATCCTCCAACTCCCTAAAAAACTATGCTGCATTCGGGGGTCGTTTCATACCCCAATTCTCAAAAGACGAATCCTCCACCCTCCCAAAAGACTATGCTGCATTCCGGGGTCGTTTCATACCCCATTTCTCAAAAGATTATTGCTTCCACCCTCCAAAAGACTATGCTGCATTCGAGGGTCGTTACATACCCCATTTCTTAAAAGATTAATCCTCCCACCGCCTAAATGACTATGCTGTATTCGGGGGTCGTTTCATACCCCATTTCTAAAAATATGAATCCTCCAACCCCCCAAAAGACTATGCTGCTATCTGGGGTCGTTTTTTACCCCATTTCTCGAAAGATGAATCCTCCCACCCCCTAAATGACTATTCAAGGGTCGTTTCATGCCCCATTTCTCAAAATATTCATCATCCCACCCCCTAAAAGACTGCTGCATTCCGGGCTCGTTTCATCCCCCAATTCTCAAAATATGAATTCTCTCACCCCCAAAAAACTATGCTGCATTCGGGGGTCGTTTCACACCCCATTTCACAAAAGATGAATCCAACACCTCCCCAAAACACTATGCTATATTCCGGGGTCGTTTAATACCCCATTTCTCAAAAGATTAATCCTCTCACCCTCTAAAAGATAACGCTGCATTCGAGTATCGTTTCATACCATACTTCTCAAAAGATAAATCCTCCCACAAACCAAAAAAACTATTATGCATTCGGGGGTCGTTTCATACCCCATTTTTCAAAAGATGAATCCTCTTACCCACCAAATGATTAAGCTGCATTCGGGGGTCGTTTATTACCCTAATTCTCAAAAGACGAAACCTCAACCCTCCCAAAAGACTATGCTGCATTCCGCAGTCGTTTTATACCCCATTTCTTGAAAGATTAATCCTCCCACCCCCTGAATAACTATACTGTATTCGAGGGTCGTTTCATACCCCATTTCTCAAAATATGAATCCCCAACCTCCCAAAAAACTACGCTGCTTTCTGGGGTCGTTTCATACCCCAATTCTCAGAAGATGAATCCTCCCACCCCCAAAACCATATTCTGCATTCCGGGGTCGTTTCATACCCCATTTCTTAAAAGATGAATTCTCCCACCCCCCAAAAGACTGCAGCAATGGGGGGTCTGTTCAAACCACATTTCTCAGAAGATTAATCCTCCGAAATCCCAAAAAACTATGCTGAATTCGGAGGTCGTTTCATACCCTAATCCTCAAAAGATGTATCATCCCATCCCCAAAAAAATTATGATGCCTTCCGGATTTGTTTCACACCCAATTCTCAAAAGATTAATCCTCCAAACCCCCAAAAACTATGCTGCATTCGGGGGTCGTTTCATACCACATTTCTCAACAGATTAATCCTCCCACCATCCAAACAACTATGCAGCATTCGGGGGTCGTTTCATACCCCATTTCTCAAAAGATGACTCCTCCTACCTCCCCAAAATACTATGCTGCATTCCGGGGTCGTTTCATACCCTAATTATCAAAAGATGAATCCTCCGACCCCCAAAAGACTATGCTGCATTCATCTGGGGGTCGTTTTCATCCCATTTTCTCAAAAGATGAATATACCACTCCCAAAGTACTTTCTGCAATCGGGGGCTGTTTCATACCCTTTTTCTCAAAGATGAATTCCTAAAACTTCATGCACTATCTTGCATTCGGGGGGTCGTTTTTTCATGCCCATTTCTCAAATAATCATCATCGCAGCCCTCTAGAAGACTGCTGATTCGGGGGTGTTCATACATTCAAAATATGAATTCTGCTCGCCAAAATACTAGGCTGTGCATTTCAGGGGGTCGTTTTCACTACCATTACTAAAATATTATTCTCCACCGCCAAAAGATATGCTGCATTCGGGGGTCGTTTCATACCCTATTTCTCAAAAGATTATACTCCCAATCGCCCAAGTACTTCTGCATTCGGGGGTCGTTTCATACTCCAATTTTCTGCCAAACAAAGAAAAATGAAAAACCCTCCCACCAAATGATATGCTGCATTAGGGGGTCGTTTCATGGCATTTTCTAAAATATTGCATCATTCATACCCTAGAGACTGTGTCCGGGGTCGTTTCCTCCCAATTCTAAAAATATTTGTTCTCCCATCAACCCAAAGACTATGCTGCATTCGGGAAGTTCGTTTCATACGCCCATTTCTCAAATGAATAATTCTCGAACCCTTAAAAGATGATGCTGCATTCCGGGGCGTTCATACCCATTATTCTCAAAAGATGAATCCTACACCCAAAATACTAATGCTGCATTTGGGGTCGTTTCATACCGCGATTTCTCAAAAGATGATTATCCCAAAATCCAGTACGTATCCCTGCATTCGGGGGTCGTTTCATACCCCTTTCTCAAAAGATGAACCTCACCCCTCAAATGGATATGGCTGCATTAGGGGGTCGTTCTCATGCACATTTCTCAAATATTCTCATTCCACCCTAGAAGGACTGCTGAATCCGGGGTCGTTTCTATCCAATTCTTAAAATATTTGTTATCCATCACCAAGAACTATGCTGCATTCGGGAAGTCGTTTTCATAGCATTTTCAAAGATATTCCTCTCGAACCTTAAAAGACTATGCTCATTCCGGGGCCGGTTATACCTTTATTCTCAAAGATGAATCTACACCCCCAAATACTATGCTGCTTTCTGGGGTCGTTTCTACCCATTTCTAAAGATGATTATCACTCCCAAGTATATTCTATACATTCGGAGGTCGTTTCATACCCCTTTTTCTCAAAGGATGAATCTGCCAACGTAAATGACTATCTTTGCATTCGGGGGCGTGTTTCATGCCCGTTTCTCAAATAATATCATCCCAACCTGTATGAAGCTGTGAATTCGAGGGTGTTTCATACCAATTCTAAAAGTTAAATTGCTCTCGCCCAAAATATGGGTCTGCATTCAGGGGGTTTCATGACATTTCTCAAAATATTCATTTCCACCGCCCAAAAGACTATGCTGCATTCGGGGATCGTTCATACCTAATTCTCACAGATAAATCTCACCCAAACGACTATGCTGCATTCTGGGGTCGTTTATACCCAATTTCTAAAAGATGTTAATTCCCATCCACAAGTACTATTCTGCATTCGGGGGTCGTTTCATACACTTTTTCTCATAAAAAGACGAATCCTCATCCTTTAATTACTATCTTGGCATTCGGGGGTGTTTGATGCATTTCTCAAAATAATATCATCCCCCTCTAGAAGACTGCTGAATTGGGGGTTCGGTTTCCCATACCCGGCAATTCTAAAAATATGAATTCTCTCGCCAAAATTCTCGGCTGCATT